TCTAATGCTTTTTAAGGAATTACAATAAAAGCCAGAATAAAGGAGAAAATGTCAATTATTGTGGAAAAATACCAGGTGGCAAAGTTTCTAAATATATTGTGTTTTTCAGATGCAGTTGATTGTCACGAGTGCTCCAAAACTAAATATCCAAACAATGGCAGAGATCAATGTATCCACAAGATTATAGTCTTTCTAGCATATGATGAACCTCTGGGAATCACTCTGAGTTTCTTTGCCCTGTGCTTAAGTGTAACTACAATTCTGATTTTAGGAATCTTCATTAAATATCTAGACACACCACTGGTCAAAGCCAACAACCAAATGCTCACCTACACCATCCTTGTCTCCCTCCTGTTTTGCTTCTTAGCCTCCTTCTTATTTATTGGTCCCCCTCAGAAAGTGACTTGTCTCCTGCGCCAAACTGCCTTCAGCATCATCTTTTCAATTGCTGTCTCTGCTGTGCTGGCCAAAACTTTGATTGTGGTGCTGGCATTCGTGGTTACAAAACCAGGAAACAAGATGAATACATGGCTGGGGAAGAATTTGGCAATGGCTGTTGTATTCTCTGGGTCCATAATTCAGTGTGGCATCTGCATGATTTGGATTGGAATTTGTCCCCCCTTCCCAGAACTTGACACTGATTCTCAGATTACACAGCTGGTACTGCAATGCAACGAAGGGTCTGTCGCCATGTTTTACAGTGCTCTTGGTTACATGGGCATTCTGGCAGTTATTTGTTTCACTGTGGCTTTCCTAGCCAGAGAGTTGCCAGGGGGTTTCAATGAAACCAAGCTAATCACTTTCAGTATGCTGGTCTTTTGCAGTGTTTGGGTATCCTTCGTGCCAAGCTACTTGAGCACCAAGGGCAAATATATGGTAGCTGTGCAGGTTTTCTCCATTTTGGCTTCCAGTGCTGGGCTAGTGGGTATCATCTTCCTTCCCAAGTGTTACATAATTGTATTGCAGCCTCATCTGAATACCAAAGAGCACCTAATGATGAAAAGAAGAAAGTAATAATTTCAAAAGGTATTCCATGATGAAGGTTTTTTTCAGTGAATCTTTTGCTATTGGGAAGAAAGCCAACCACTGGATTATAAATGCATACCAATGAAACCAGTAGCAATTATATTGTTACAACGTCTCTTTTTGTAATAGTCAAAGAAGGACCTAGTGCATTACTTGGACAAATAAAATTGTAAGATTATCATGGCAGAGAGAATTTACCATTTGTTGATTTATTACAGATTATTAAGGTTCATATATGACATTCAGATCTAATAAAAGGTGAAGAAAGCGATTTTTCTTGTTAGGAACTCAGTGACTTTCTCTATTATCAGATAAACAGATCCTCCCATTAGTCATTGCTTCTCTAAGATTTCCAGGGCCATAAACAAGTAAACCAGGGTAAAAGAGTGGGGCAAATTAGAATGTCAACAAATAAAAAGAAAGAAAATACTCTAAGCCCATTACACTTACTCCTCAGGCAAATCACATTTTACATGAAATCTTCCCAAGAGGTTTGGAGAAATGAACAACCCTTTTAGAAAAGGCAAAGAGATTCAAGATTAGATAGCTAAATAAGATGAATAACTGAGAGACCAAGAAACTCTAGGTGGTTTATGTTTCTTTAATTGATTGCGGTAACAGTTCCCACTTCATAAATGCTACTTCTCCATTCTCAATTGATTTCTTCTTTGCATCTGTATGTGCATTAACATTTTCTAAATGTTTCTAAATACTTCTTCCTTATTTCTGGAACATTCACAGCAGCTTCAATGGTTAACAATCTGTTAACCATTCAGTCAGGTCTGCTTCATGAAGAGTCACTCCTTGAACTTCAGGATAGTATTATAACTTTGACAGTTTGTGAACAAGCTTTCTCTTTTTCCAGAGCAGGGGTATCAAACTGCCGGCCCACGGGCTGGTTTCATCATACCGGAGCCGCACCCACCCCATTGCCGGCAATGGCGAAAAAGCTCCGATACGTTGCGCGACATCACGTGATGTCGCAAGTTTGACATGTCTGTTCCAGAGCCTTATCCCAGAGCCTCAAAACAAAGTGACCAACATTAGAAATGAGAGACTTCTCACTTGGGCCCTTCAGGGCTTCTCATATTTGCATTTCTTTTATTTATTTTTTTAATGAATCAGAATTAAATTGCCTATCACTATAAGACAGTCCATGTCAGTTGCTTTTCACCCAAGCTGTCTGATTTGCATAGATTCTGAAAGTTGTTGATTACAAGCCACTCACAACTTATGAACACAATTGGGACTAGAATTTCCATTGCTGAATGATACAGACATTAAGTGACTCGTCATGTGACCATGCACAATTTTACAACCTTTTTTGCTGCAATCATTAATTGAACCATGCCATAGTTAAGGATATCCAGCTTCCCCCTTTGACTTTGCTTGTTGGAAGTCAACCAGGAAGGTTGTGAATGGTGATTATGTGATCCTGAGATGCTGCAACCATCATAAATACATGTTAGTAGCCAAGTGTCCAAATTGGAGTCATGTGACTGCAAAAGACACTGTGACGGTCCTAAGTATGGGGAGCAGTCATAAATCATTTTTTTTTAATGCGGTTGTAACTTTAAGTGATCACTAAATGACTGGTCATAAGTCAAGAACTATCTGCAGTTCTATTTTAGAGGACCATTGTTCAGATTCAGGACTTTCCAGTTTTTTAGTTGCCCGGTATTTCAACCCCATCTCCTTGCTGAATACTGTTTCTTTCATCACTGTATCAAAATTGCACTGGATGCAATTTTCACATATCCTTACCCCTAGTTCTCTTATATGTGGTGGAATGTAGTCTGGATTCACAGGAGGGAGGGGGAGCATTCCAGAGGAGCAAGAAATCGCAAAATTTAGATAGCTTGATTGGGAGGAAGAGAGATTAGGCAGCTGCTCCCTAGGAGTTCTCAGAGTATATCATTAATGTTGCAAGTAGCTTGTTTTAGTTTGGCAAGTTAGAAGAAACTCAGAGTATATTTCTTGGTTTTTGCAGCCTGACCTATAGAGTAAAAATGTAGTAACTGTTGGTTAGAAATCTCCAGTTGAGAGGTATCTATGAATTATTGGAGGATGGTTCAGGAAGAACTAATGAAAGCAGAGCTGTCACAATGGAATCCCCACCTCTTTTGGAGGTACATTGTCAGGCACAAAGAATCAGGACCACACAATTGGTTCCAGTTAAGATGATTTATTGCTTATGCCCAAACACAAGAATCGCTTCCATTAACAATCAGCACTAAATTGGTGCTGGAGAAGACTCCTGCGAGTCCCTTGGACTGCAAGGAGTTCAAACCAGTCAGTCCTAGAAGAGATCAACCCCGACTGCTCTTTAGAAGGCCAGATCCTTCTGAAGTTGAAACTCAAATACTTTGGCCACCTAATGAGAAGGAAGGACTCACTGGAGAAGGGCCTAATGCTGGGAAAGATTGAGGGCAATAGAAGAAGGGGATGACAGAGAATGAGATGACTGGATGGAGTCACTGAAGCAGTAGGTGTGAACTTAAATGGACTCCAGAAAATGGTAGAGGACAGAAAGACCTGGAGGAACATTGTCCATGGGGTCGCGATGGGTTGGACACGACTTCGCAATTAATAACAACAACAACAACAAGAGTTAACTGAATACAAGCTTCAATTAGAGTCCACCAATGTAATAAATTACTTAATATGAACCACAGGGAGAGAAAAAGAAATATTTATTCTTTCAATAAATGGGTTTGAATAAACAAGACTGGTTTTGTCTGGAAGCTGACACATGCTAAAGTAAAAAAAAAAAAAGGAAAGTTAAAAAAACCTCCAAAATAGTTGACCAGCAGTTTAATTCAGGAGAAAGCAATCAGAAAAATCAGCCTCTAGATACTTCACAAGTCTATCTACAAATGGAGTACTTTGAAGATCAAAAAATGACTATAAATGAAGTTCTCCCATTGCCAAAATTAACAAGAATTGACAGCCAGACGCGATCGATTGAAAGTTATGACAACCTGGATAAGCAAGCTGAAATATGGAATAAAATGGACTATACTGCGTATATGATACTGGAAGAAGGGGAAAAGAATTTTGATTAGATTGATTTGTTGATAAACATTAATACTCAAATACTGAGATTTGATGACATAGAAGCGACAGTACGGAAACCAGCTTGGTATAGAAAAAAAGCCAGAGTTAGACTTAAAAATGTGATTTAAAATTTTAATTATTGGGTCAAAAAGGCTTTAGAAATTTGGACTGATTGGACAATCTAATTGAGTAAATGAAAGCAGTAAGATAATAATTGGTGTAATAATATGTCTGTCTTAGATACGATACTTAATTTGGTTGAGAGTTAAATTTTACTTAACAGGTCAAAATGATTCTTTTTTCTTTTTACTCTGTTTATATAGAAAACTATTTTGTAATAGCAGAAGAATTAGAGAGATCTATGATAAGAGAAGAAAGGGTATTAATTAATGATGTATCAAATTAAGAGATGGAATATATGTGAAAATGTTATTCTTGGAATATTATGTGTTTAGAAGGGATACCCAAAATTTTATTACTATGTTTGTTTAAGATCAATTGGAATATTTTAATTGAAATTAGTGGAGCTTAAAAGCAGGAGTGATTTATATAGATGGAATAGTAGGGATGATTCTGTGGATTGATTGAATTTTAAGAAGAAATAGATTAAACTAAATGTGCTATATTATGTGACGAAATAGAGGGGGGGATTTTTTTTAAGGTATTAATTTTAGTTATATATATATATGACTTGTTTTGTTATGATTGATTACCCTTTCACCATGGTGTTTTCCTGAGCATTTTAATGTTAGAATTAAAAAAACCAATAAAATGTATATTTTAAAAAAAATCAATCTCTACTTTGTTGATAAAAAAAGATAGAGGCTGCTAAGGAATGGAAACGAAGTAGTTACATAAATTGACTTCCCTTTTTTGGGAGGCTTGGTTTTTTTCATTTTCAATTTTTGTTTTGATGGGCTTCTTTAAGGCAGAGAGATGCTCAACATGAATCGTCAACCACCAGGAGTTCACCCCACACTAACATCAACTCAGCCCAAAGGTACTGAATTAATATTCTAATTGCCTTCACTTTTTTGAACCATGAGGCTATTCTTGACTGCATCTTTTGATATTAGCATAAAATACAGTAAAGCCCAAAGAAAGACCCAGTTTTTTTCTTTTTAAAGGAATTAAATTTAAATTGCTATTTTGCAAGCAAATTTCAGCAGCTACATTGTTGAGAGACAAGAGACTTGCAGGGCCAAAAAAAAGAGATGAGAGGTGTAGGCCAGAGGCTTCGAACTGTGCACCCCTGCTGTCTAATTTCAATCTCAAACAGGGCAAAAAAATAAATTAAAAAAATGCAGCTGTCTCTTTTTACTCTCATTTCAAGTTTATTGAAAAATACTTACATTTGACAAGGGCTTGTTTTAGCAATAAGACGCTTTTATGTGGTTTTAAGAGAACAGTTATATCAGTCCTTGAGGCTGATTTTGTCTGTCTTTTTTGTGTAGGTTTCAGAAATGGTTTTGTTTCTGAAAAGTTTAGCCACGCTTGACATCGGCTTGCTGATATGCAAGGCTGTAGCTGTAGGTCAGTGGTGGCGAACCTATGACACTAGTGCCAGAGGTGGCACTTGGAGCCCTCTCTGTGGGCACGCATGCTGTTGCCCCAGCCACGCCTCCTCCCGTAGCCCCCTCCTCATCAGCAGCCCCCCCAAAGAAGAATCACCCCCGGGTGCGGCCTGTGCAGAGCTGCACAGCCTAGCACATGGCAGCTGGGCAGCAGATGATGCTGCGGGGTGCTGGTGGAGGGCGTGGCCCCCATGGCGCTGCAGGACCGCCTGGGCAGAGCGGGGGTGGGCCGGTTTTTGGGCACTCAGTCTCTAAAAGGTTCGTCATCACTGCTGTAAGTTATGCACCAGGGTGCATGTGTGTAAAAAAAGTCAAGATGCTGGCATAGCTGAAGCTTCATCTCATTTTTTTTACATCTCTTGCACGGCAGGGCTTCAGTTATATTGCCCTAACTGCCATCTTATCAGCTCTATGAGGTGGACCCTATTAGGAAATCAACTCCACAGGCATATTAGAACTACAGGTAGTCCTTGACTTACAACCATTTGTTTAGTGACCATTGGAAGTTACAATGCCACTGGAAAAATGTGACTTATGGCCAGTTCTCACCCTTACAACCTTCGCAACATCCCCACGGTCCACATGATCAAAATCTAGGTGCTTTGCAATCAGCATATAGTTATGACCATTGCAGCATCCCGGGGGGGGGGTCATGCAATCATCACTTGTGACCTTCCCAGCCAGCTTCAGACAAGCAAAGTCAATGGGGATGTCAGATTCACTTAACAAACGTGTGATTCACTTAAGAATGGCAGTGATTTGCTTAACAACTGTGTCAAAAGAGTCATAAAATTAGGCATCTCATTTAACAACTGCCCTGCTTAGCAAATGAAATTCTGACCCCAATTGTGGCCATAAGTCGAGGACTATCTGCATATTTCATTGAAATACAGTAACGGAATCGTGCCAGTTTGGCTGGTTTTTTGCCCTTCTGTCCCTCTTATACACCCAGGAATTGAGGGGGCAATCTTTTTAAAAATACTTTCCCAATAACCTGGACTTAATACATGCTTCTTCTCTACCTGCCACAAAGAAGAGGGAGTCAAGCTATTCTCCAAGGCGCCTGAAGGCAGGACAAGAAACAATGGATGGAAACTAATCAAGGAGAAAAGCAACCTAGAACTAAGGAGAAATTTCCTGACAGTTAGAACAATTAACCAGTGGAAAGACTGGAAGAGAAGAGACTGGAAAACCATTTGTCTCAAATGATATAGGGTTTCCTTCCTGAGCAGGGCATTAGACTAGAAGACCTCCAAGGTCCCTTCCAACTCTATTATTTTGTTATTCTGTTGTATTCTTATGGCTTCTGGATGGCTTCTGCAAGGTCATCTCCATGGCTTCCTACTCATCTTGGTTTTTTGACACACATACACACCCTATACACACTGCAGATGTCTCTCCTATACCTATCAATATTGTGCAGGTGATCCATCAGCTACAATGAATCCAGCTGTTTCATAAGAACGCTTTACATTTCCCAATGTTATTGATTTGTTTTTACTGTATTTATTTCCCAATGCTCCACAGATGCTCCGTCTTGCTTCTGGCCCAGAATTGCTATTTTGATATTGCTGATTGCAAGCATTGCTCTGAAGTGCACGCTGATCGTTCTGATGTTCTCAGGTAATGATCTGGTGTCATCCTATAATCTGAAAATCAAAACTGGCCCTAAAGTCAGCACCCAACCCCTGACTAATAACAACCAGGACTGACTCCACTGTGCAATTGCAACAGCTCATTCATGCAGTCACCAGGAATCAACACTGATCTGAAAGCACCAGTCCTGCCCCCTTTAGCATTTGCCCCCAGGGTTACATTTTCTAAAAATAAGTCTGTTGATTTCTCTTTGTCTTAAAGATGATACAATTCTATTTCTAAAGAAAAGAAAACATAATCTTTGAAACATGAGTTGTCTTCAGCATACCGTGAAAAAGGGGATTGAAGACCTATGTAAGAGCACTATTTTCTCCAACTAACGCTCATTTTTTTTCCTCCCTGATTAATACATCAATATGTCCATTAATTCTTTTCCTCCTCTGTCTTTCCCACTTCTCTCCAATACTTGGTGGCAGGAAAATCAATATTTGATCATTCACTAGGAACATCTTTTGTTCCTTCCCCCCCCCCCGGGAACAAATCAAAGTTGAAGAGAGCGTTGTTTTCGTTCCCCATTTTAAGAGGCAGAACTCTGGGGAGCAGAGGTTATAAATATCTTAGTCTTCCCATTTCCCCTCACAATATTTTTCTTTGGCTGCAGAGGAGTAGCATCAGGGCTGCCATTCAGCTATGCTATGCATTGCTTGCTGTTAACCCAGTGGTTCTCAACCTTTTTAATGCTGCAACCCCCAACCGGTCGTAAGTCGAGGGCTACTCAACTGGTCGTAAGTCGAGGACTATTCAACTGGTGCAGCACCGTTTGCAGAATGGGACTTTTGGTGGGCTCAGCAGGGCAGAGACAGCCTGGACAATTCCTATTGGCTTTTGAAAGCCAATAGAATTAGACTCTATTCAAGAAAGTCTATTCTATTGGCTTTCAAAAGCCAATAGAATAAAAGGGAGTAGCACAGCTAAGGAGAAGGGGGGGGGGAAATGGTGGACTGCGTTGTTTGGCAACCCCCGTGAAATGGTTGTTCGACCCCAAATGGGGTCCCGACCCACAGGTTGAGAACCATTGTGTTAACCTGACATAGCAATGGGGGGAGGGATTGTCGGGGTGGGAGAAGGGGGAAGGTTAGCAGGAGGAATTGAAACTAAGCATTGCACCATCCTGGGAGAATTGCCAGCTGTTCCAAGGTCAAGCAAAGGACTGCAGAAACATTCAGCCTGTGGACACAGGGTCTATTTCCCAAATACTTTGTTAGCACCTAACTGGACACTCTTTGATAACCAGGGGGGTGGATGGGAACAAGGGAAAGTTAACCATATGCTTGAGTGCAAAAACCTCAAATCTAGCTTCTCTTGTTCTGTAACCACTTAGCTTTAGTAAAGTATACCTTTGGCTAACTATAGGCCTGAGAATCTTTCTTTTCTAACAAGTTGGGACAATTGACAACTAGAGCGTGAGGTACAGATTACACAGATCACCATGAAGCTTCACAAAGAAAACACAAATTCAAGAGGGTCACTGCAAAGCCCCATCTCTCTCTCTTTTTGTCTGTGTGAGTAAAGTGGCATGCACACATGTGAATCATGTGTGCATGACACATAAGGAGTGGCAGAGCTTCAATCTCATAGTCCTGACTATCTTGCCTGTCACCAGAGAAAGCTCAGAGTATTGCAGCAAACTGCCCACAGCCTGGAGTTCAATCCTGACCAGCTCAAGGTTGACTCAGCCTTCCATCCTTCCGAGGTTGGTAAAATGAGGACCCAGATTGTTGGGCGTGCGATATACTGACATGGTAAACTGCCCAGAGATTGCTGTAAAGCACTATGGAGTGGTATATAAATTTAAATACTATTGCTATTATTATATAATAGTATTTTTAATTATATTCATTCAATCAATCAATCATTCAATCCAGTGTCAATATGGCCACCAATCTCAAAAACATGGTTCTGCTTACAACCATTAGAAATGATATCAAAAGAACAGAAGTCTAAATAAAATGGGAGGAATGAGTATTAGGTATGTTCGCTCCCTTATTTATAAAGTAACAAAAGCAGGATAAACATTCAATAAAGTTAAAAAAAAATAAAGTGGTCCATTAATGTGATGAAAATGGAGAAAGAATTAAATCAATGATTGGAAAGTAGCCGAATTGAGTATGGCTGTTTTTAAAGGGATAACAAAATTAAATTCAGCTAATTTTTGGTCCCAACATGCCTTTCAAAGCCTGAGTAAAACTTTTAGCCCAAGAAAAGCCCTCCACACTTTGAATTTAGAGGAAAGCGAGGTTCAGCCAATGGAACCTCACTTTCTATTCCTCCTCCACTCGCTTCAGAATCAGTGCTGCAAATTTTGGCAAACACTTAGTAGCATTGGTGATCTGCTCCATCTATCACTTCCTTAAAAAGCCAAATCAAAATATTTATCGTTCAGATTCGAACACTGCTTCTCCCCTCTGAGAATGAAATTGCCCAAAGTAGTTTGCAAATCACAAAAGAAACAAATCCACATCTATCCCTGAAGAGTCTCCAAACAGCCAAACACGGGGTGAGAATTAAGTAGCTGCTAGTCCTTAGACAAAGCTAGTCCTTTAGCCAAAACTGCCCTTGAAGCAGTAGGACTCCAACACACCTTCTCCAAAAGATATATTAGATATATTAATAAACTCCTTACAATGTCTTTGTAAGAAAAAGAAGAAAACCACGATAACTGTGTTCTAACATCAAGCTATTATCTAAGCTTCACAGGTTCCTAGTGAAGGAATCAAGGCAAGAAAAGAGATCCAAAGTTGTCTACAGAATTGTATTCCTTGTGGATCAGCTAAAGGCCACATAACAGGTAACCCAGGTTATTTCCATCACTAAACATCAGCTATATCAATATCAGCTATGTTTTTTTTAAATGTTCAGAGCACATAAGGAGAACTGAAAGCCAGATGTAAGGATCCATCTGAGATATCTCCTCAGAGATATCATTAATTTACAGAGTCAAGAATACTTTTTACAGGCTTCTGATAGGTTAAGAGTCCCAACCTAGAGGAAGCAAGGCCAATGGAATTCTAGAAGAGAAAGAAAAGTGGGAGGGAGCAGAAGCATAGAAGTTGTCCAATGAGAGAGTTTGAATCCAGGCAGAAGATTTTGCAGCTGTTGTCCAAATGATTCAAACAGGAGCAGCACAAAGTAGAGGTGTGCCTTCTGTGGCTTCCCACTTTAAGTGCAAGAAGAGAAATGTGCAAGGAAGAGAAAACAGGGAGTAATTTTACAACCTGGCTCAATCTTGGATGTGTTTTATATTGAAATAGGAAGGATTAGGAAACAGAAAGTCTGATCCATAGGAAGGATCCCTAAATCTCCTCCTAGCTCTTCTGACCTGCTGTGGCTAAGCCATAAAATTGCAAGCTGGGCAAAAATATTAACTAGGTTTAAAATAAAGGCACTCAGCATTTCACGTAGCGGCATCCATTCTCATCCGAGTGTCGATATCAGAGAGTTTCAGTTCCGCAGTTGTTCAACTTTGAAGGAAATAGTTGTGTGCATGCATGCATGCTATTTCCTTTTCTGTTTGTTTTAGTGGCCTCACAAATCAGTCTTTTAGCTGGCATACTTTGATTTTTGTGTCTCAAGCTAGGTGAACCATTTCAAGAAGGAGGCTAACCACACTCGGTTTATCTCTATTTTAACTTGTGATCTTCGTGTGAACCAAAGCTCTGTGATTCTAAGACAGATAAAGAGATAAACCACATGAATTGCGATCTATTGTTTACAATCTGCATTGGGAATTTTTTTTCTCTCCCTGCCCCCATTCTACGTTTCAAAATAATTTTAGTCCAGATTTCGCAACTTGCCGCCCTTGATTTCTAATGGGGTCTTGCCTAGAAGACAAGGTATCTTCATGTAACATCAGTTCCATATATCCCTGCGATATGAGCTCTATAGTACTGAACACTTTTGAAATTACTTATGGTTTTCAATTTTATTACGTATTTAAAATCAACATCATTGTAAACTCCTCACTGAAAAATCCCCTGAACTGAGGAGAGATCCCACCTCTAGATTCCTACTCTTGTAAAACAAACTGATAACTATAAAAATTATTTGAAGAGCTATACGTTCCACACTTGAGGGTGAACTTTTTCCCATCCTTTCTTTCACACAGCAAATTTGACTCTGAATCCAAGCACAGCTCATCCCCAGCTCTACGTATCCTCTGATTTGAAAAGTGTTAGATGGAGAGGAATGAATCAGCAAGTGAACAGCAGTCTTCTGAGATATGACGTTATGGCCAGTGTCCTAAGCCACGAGAGCTTCAATTCTGGGAAGCTTTGCTGGGAGGTGGAAGTGCTGGAGGGAGGGGAGTGGTGGGGGGTGGGAATTGTTAGGGAATCTGCAAACAGAAATGGGCCGATTCTCCTTGAGCCCCGAGGGGGTTACTGGGGAGTGCAGCAAATGAATGGGAAGCATGAATCAATCACTCAGCCCAGGACAAATCTGCAGTTGTGCCATCCCCCAAGAAGGATTCGAGTTTCTTTGGACTATGTAGAAGGTCTTGTGGCATTTTTTGATGGCGATACAAATGCTGAAATCTTCACTTTCCCAAAAGCAAATTTTGCTGGAGAGAAGATTCATGCATGGTTCTTGATCTATAAGTGGAATGGACAGCTTCTCCTCCACCCGTGACACAGTGGGACAAAGATGATCATCCTGCTGGAAGAACTTCAGACCACCTGCCTTAACCTCTCTTCCATTTATTCTGTTTCTCTCTGCCTTCCTGTACGATGTGCCCTTTGACTTCTTTTGTCCTTCCTCTCTGCTACCACCTTGTTTAATTCTAAATGAAAGATCCTTTGAGTTGCAGTAATAAGCTTCATGTCAAATAATACTCCTAACTGAAAGACTAGAACAGTGGTTCTCAACGTTTGGTGACGGCGACCCCCGTCACACAAACGTGCCGCGCATGTGCGGTGGCACCCCCATGTGCGGCGCGCATGCGCGGCGGTGCCCCTGAGGGGGGAAAATGGCGGATCGCTTTCTTTGGCAACCCCCGTAAAATGGTCGATCGACCCCAAATGGGGTCGTGACCCATAGGTTGAGAACCGCTGGACTAGAAGGAATAAATCATGTTTCAATCTGTCTCCTAAATTTGAGAACAAGTGTGCTAGGCAGGACTAGGACGCAACTAATTATCTTGATTTTGAAAGCTCATCTGCCAATCCATCCCTCAAACCATGTACCTTGTAGCCATTGGCTCTCTTTATGCTGCTGGCCACTCACAATTTTAAATTTTCTGATCCCATCATCCAATGGGACCTGCTTTGGTTGGTTCAGATATTGAAAGCCAGGTTTTCACAGTTCAGTGTTTTCCATGCTGAATTTGAAGAAGCAATTTTTTTTTTCAGAATCTTTCTATGGGATTCATCTCAATTAACAGCTGATGCCTATCAGTTTTGATGGTTTTGACACAGAATTCATCCATTCATGGCTGTGGTAACTAAATAGACTTTTCTTACACAATAGCACTAAAGGTTCCTGGGAGCAATATGGAAGATCCATCACCTTAAATGTTTCCTTCTGAGAAGATTGTGTGGGAACTAACTGTTGAACTATATATGAGTACCTTTAACTGCAGGAGTCTAAGATAGTGGGGTTGGATCAAGGGTGCAACTGATTTTCTAAGATGGATGGGTCCTAGGTATGTGCCAGGAATCAAGATACAAGGGCAATTCGGAAATAAACCTCTGTTTGGTTATCAATGACAGACACTTGCAGATATAGAACTTTTATATACACAGTAGAAAACTACAACATTACATTACTTTTTGACATAATCACCATCCAAATTGAGGCACTTGTCATAATGTCTTGCAAGGTTTGAAATTGCTTAATAGTAATCGCTTAGCACCAAATCTGGGCTATGGGTGTGTGTGATTAAAAACATCCCAATGGAATGGCTTCAAAAGTTCTTCGGTATGTCTAGCGGTGTGCGGGTAAGCATTAACATGAACCAATACCACACCGGAAGTCAGCATGCCCCGACCCTTGTTATGGATGGCTCGTCTGAGTTTTCGTAACATTTCATAGTAGACTTCTGAACTGATGGTCGAACCACGCTCCATGAACTTCACTAGCAGTAATGTGGTGGACTAGTATGTAACCATCTGACCAGAGCGTGTATAAGTAGCATTTTAAGGGTTAAAAAGCCGTCTCCTTAAGAAATGGACTTCTGGGAAATGTAGTTTAGTTGTTACATGGTTATATCTGTGTTCTAATTGGCCAGTGGGAGGGTCTTGTGTCTTTATTACCAGATATCCTGTTACGTGCCAGGTTTTATTATCCTTCCATGAATCCTAGCCTCGTTGGCTAGGCTAGGAGCTCCGTATCAGCATGAAAGATTTGTGTAGAATGGGGAGATCCATTATTCCTTTACCTATGAGATGGGTCCAGATTATAACCTACATTCTAAAAGAACTTCTGCAATAACTGTGAGTTAATGTTTTGAGGATACCTGGAAAATAAAAGTAATTTTATATGACCTCATCAGTTGAGTTTAATTCTGCCTGTTTCAAGTGGAGTCCAGCAACCTTCTCTGCATGGGACAGGAAAAGTAATCCTCTGGCATCTTCGCATTTGGCATATCTTCACATTTTCTATGGCACCACTTCTAGTGTGGTGTTGGTTCACGATAATGCTTGCCCACACACCACTAGAATTAGGTAAACTTAACTAAATAAAATAAAGTAGAATTAGCTCATCTGGTCTTGTTTCCTGTCTAGTCTTCCTGGGAGGGATGACCACAACCTTGCAAGTTTGATAAGACAAATCTCTCGCCAATCCTTTTTTAACTCCTTGATGAGTCACGGATATTCCTTTCTTTCTCTGCCCATTATACAACTGTGGGTTATGCCCCCTTTTATCTCATTGTTCCCTAGGAGAGATACTCCCCACATACCATTACAGTAGAAGATGCAGAGACTGGAAAAAAACAATCTTGGCTTTGGAGGGATAGAAAAAGAAAGGATGGAACCAGAATGAACACTACATTTAACTCCCAATGACATGTTGACACTAATATATTTTATGTCTGATGGGTGTGTCAACATCCAGCTCGAGGATCCAAATAAATCACCGGGTTCATGCTGTTTCCAAAAACCTTGCTGTTTATTGAATACACGGCATGGTACTGCTGAAGCAAAATTAATTCTGAGGTTCCAAGACTCCAATTCAGACAATTAAACAACCAAACCCAGTAGTTGGATTCAGCCGGTTCACACCAGTTCGGTAGAACTGGTAGCTAATTTTTTGTTGACTTTGGCAAACCGGCTGATGCCCTAGCCCTTTTTCACAAGACCCAGAAGTGCATGGATGCCACTTCTGGTGGGCTGTTCTGGGCCTGGGAGGCCTCCCGAGCTCAGAACGGACTTCCAGAAATGGCGCCCATGCAGAGAACCAGTTGTTCAGGTATTTGAATCATACCACTAGCCAACCCCCACCCTCTCACGTAGTCTCTATAAACAATTTTATTTTGTTATAGGAACTGTCTGCTTCTCCTTCACACCTGCTGCAATGTTCTTGGAAACGGTTCAGACTCTCATGGTCTTCAGCAGAATCATAAAGGTTTCATTTCTCCATCTAAACACTTATAAAGCAACACATCCCCCCTTACTTTAATGGCAAGTAAAAAAAAAGTGGCACATAACTGCCAAAGTTTCATTCTTGACAGGGCGATTGTCTACAGCAATTGTCATTTGAGGGAACTATAAGAGGGCCTCCAAAATTACAATACAGGTAGTCGGTGACTTACGACCACAATTGAACCCAAACTTTTTGTTGCCAAACAAGATAGTTGTTAAATGAATTTTGTCCCATTGCAGTTGTTTAGCTAGTAACACAGTTGTTAAGTGAATCTGGCTTCCACATTGACTTTGCTTGTCAGTAGGTCACAAAAAGTGATCACATGGCCCCAGGACACTCCAAATCCTCATAAATATGAGTCAGTTGCCAAGCATCTAAATTTTGATCACGTGACCACAGGGATGCTGCAATGATTGTGTGAAAAACGCATGTAAGTCACGTTTTTCAGTGCTGTTGTAACTTTGACTTGTCACTAAGTGAACTGTTGTAGGTGGAGCACTATCTGTATGCAGAGCAACTCATGATCCCATGGAACCCTCACTGACAGGTTGTCAATGACTATAACCTGAACCAGGAATGAGTCTTCTATCACTACTTTATTGTAAAAGGTTAATTAGGAGATGGAACAGCCATCCCGTTTTTCCCAATCCAGTCTTCCAAATTTTTTTTCTCCAAAGAGTTGTCATGAAACTATGGAGTTCAACTTTCTTAAATCTGGTGGGAAAATGGAATCAAATAGAAATAGGATGTTTGTCCCCAGAACTTGAGGTTCTGGGTCTCAATAAAGCTAAAATTATCTGCTGTCAACTCATAAATTGTCTCCTGGTCATCTTCAAGCCATAATTGTCAACAAGGCATCAGTTGTATATTAATGATTGCAATTAAGGAATTACCCTATCCATCCCCCTTTTGAATGAAACATCATTTATGGGGCTGGATTTCTAAGAAAATTATGCAATTGCTTCAGATTGGCTTTTTAAAAAGCTCAAGGAATTGGGACTTTCTCGTCTGAAGATTGTGAAACTTGCTACCGCCATTAACAAGCTCTGGAAGATGGACGCAGATGGGTATGTATATATGGATCCACCAAAGAGACACTTGCAAGCTTCTAAACAGAGCAAAGGTAATGACTTAAAACTATTTTTTACTTGCTTCTGTATGTGGACAGTATTTTTTTTTCCCTAAGGCAATCTAAGAAGATGGTAAAAGTGAATCTAGTCCCTAGGAGTTTTATATTTTTTTACTGTAGAAAAAAAAGGAGAAAGTTAACAATGTTTTCCTTAATATCTACAGGTTCATGAAGAATTATTTTTCTTTTTTGTTCGTGGAGACTACAAATACAAAATTTGCCATTTTGACTGATTGGCATGGTGAACAACTGAGGTTTTAAACATTGAAGCAAATTTGTTCAGTTGCTACCATGGGACAAGAAACTGGAGAGATTAAAAAAAATAGATTTAAAATTTGTCATAATGGTGGGAAAGTACTACCCACAATGGAGGAATGGTTGCTGAAGATGATGGAAAAATTAACTTCAAATGAAGTTAATGTTCTAATAAGGATGGCTAAGTTAACTTCTTTGATCAGAGGAAAAACAGTATCTACATCTGTAGCTGGTTGGAAACCCCTTTTAGATTTTTTGAATCAATTGGAAAAAAGATGTCCTTATTGATGTATGGCTCTGATGATTAAAAAAAACTGTCTAATAGAAAAATGAGAGGGTTTTTTTGCAAACATAGGCAAAAAGATACTTTTATAATAGTACTTACATTTACTGCAAAGGAAACCAGATGTTTCTTATATTTCCTTCCTTCTTTCTGCACTTTTTCTTCTTTTTCTTTCTTTCCTTGCTTCTACACTTTACCTGTGTTAGTTTTTGAGCTTTTTGTAAACTTTTAATAAAATTGTCATAAAAATTGAAGCTTTTCTAGATTGACCTTCCCCTATTCCATCATCTTCATCATCATCATCATCATCATCAAGTTGGAAGGAACCTTGGAGGTCATCTAGTCCAACCCCCTGCTCAGGAAGGAAACCCTATATCATTTCGGACAAATGGCTGTCCACTCTCTTCTTAAAAACTTCCAGTGTTGGAGCATTCAAAGCTTCTGGAGGCAGGTTGTTCCACTGGTTAATTGTTCTAACTGTCAGGAAGTTTCTCCTTAGTTCTAGGTTGCTTCCCTCCTTGATTAGTTTCCATCCGTTGCTTCTTGTCCTGCCTTCAGGCACTTTAGAGAATAGCTTGATTCCCTCTTCTTTGTGGCAGCCCCTGAGATATTGGAACACTGCTATCATGTCCCCCCTCATCCTTCTCTTCATTAAACTAGACATAACCAATTCCAGCAGCCTTTCCTTATATGCTTTAGCCTCCAGTCCTCTAATCATCTTTGTTGCTCTTCTCTGTGCTCTTTCTAGCATCTCAACATCTTTTTTACATCGTGGTGACCAAAACTGGATGCAGTATTCCGAGTGTGGCCTTACCAACTTCTTGGTGTCTGTATAACAGCTCTTCGTAATACTTTTTAAAATTTTTATTACAAAATATTACTCCTTCCCTATCAGATTTTTATGAGCTAAATTTCATATTGTTTTCCTCTTCTCCATCATCTAATGATCTGGTCATATTAGGCAGGAGAAAATATTTAAAAAGCAAAGAAGATGGAATACATGCAGATACCCATATGATCTGAATTCCTAAAGATAAGCATGTGTGCTTCAAGGTTCATCTTTAATTTTATCTTTAGGAAAGGGGAGAAGACTGCGGTGTTTAGTTTGCCCCAAAGTTCATATCCTGCCATTTCTTGTGTATTAAGTGGAATAATGCATATTAAGCAACTCAACCAAATCATTATTACAGTCATAAACCAGCATAAGAAGGATGGAATACAAACAAATAATAATTTTAAAAGCTAAAAAATAAATATATATAAAAATATATAGCGCACTAAATCTTTCAAAACACAAAATACTCTCAACAAACAATTCAAAGACATGTTAAGGCTGGTTTGAGGCACAGGTCATCCATCATCTGGCGGATTTTAATCACTGCTGTGCAAAATCTGGCAAGATTATACGTTGTGGCAGGATTGGTGTCCGTGAGCGCACAGAGGCATAAAATTGTCCTGTGCGCCCTACTATTTATACAATATTGGTGAAATGAGGCTAGTATGAATGTCTCTGTGGTGCAGGCATAGAAGGAACATTTTAAAACTTACTTACTAAATTTATCGGCATCCCCATCTCACTGTTACAGTGACTCTGGGCTCTGCTCTGTTGTCTCTAGATGGCCAGAGTCCCAGTGACATTGCGTCTCTGGGTGGGGAATTTTCCTGTTTCCATTTAAGCAACTAAATGGACTTGTTCCACATTTTGTCAGTCCTGTGACAAGGGAAGGCGAAACAAAGCCAGGGGTATCCACTAACCAGCTTCCTCAACTACTGAAGCCTTTTCTTAACCCTGTAAGGACAGCACCATCCACAGGTCTTTTTCCTGAAAGAGAAGAAGATCTCAGAGCAAATTTTATGCTAGAAGACTTTCTAGGCTGCTCAAATGCATTGCAGGTTGACATGGCTGTGCCTGTAGAAAAGATCTCTCACCGAAAAGATTCAAAGCACATCACCGCATCCCATGATTTTCTTTGCTAAGTTGCACCTGCCTATAATTTATTCTCTCTACAAAATACATATTCAAAGCAGTCTGCTGCCAGCTACACCTAAGGAAGCAAAAAACAAAAACCACTTATGGCTCCCACTTATGGCCAAAGTGTGATTAGCTGCTCTGAAAATAATTGAAATTCTCCCTAAGAAAGACTGTAAGTTGCTTGTTTTTGACCTTTGCAAAAATCTAAGTCCTCCCTTAAGGCTTTCCCAGCTCCAAGATCACTGCAGATGGGACTGCAGCCAAAAAATTAAAAGACGCTTGCTCCTGGGGAGGAAAGCTATGGCAAATCTAGACAGCATACTAAAAAGCAGAGACATCACCCTGCCAACAAAAGTACATATAGTCAAGGCCATGATTTTCCCAGTTGCAATGTATGGCTGTGAAAGTTGGACCACAAGAAAGGCTAAGCGCCAAAGAATTGAGGCCTTTGAACTATGGTGCTGGAGAAGACTCCTGTGAGTCCTCTGGACTTCAAGGCATTCAAACGGTCAGTCTTAAAAGAGATCAGCCCTGACTGCTCTTTAGAAGGCCAGATCCTGAAGTTGAAATTCAAGTACTTTGGCCACCTAATGAAAAGGAAGGACTCACTGGAGAAGAGCCGAATGCTGGGAAAGATTGAGGGCAATAGAAGAAGGAGACGACAGAGAATGAGATGGCTGGATGGAATCACTGAAGCAGTAGGCGTGAGCTTAAATGGACTCCAGAAGATGGTAGAGGATAGGAAGGCCTGGAGGAATGTTGTCCATGGGGTCACAATGGGTTGGACACGACTTCGTAACTAACTAACAACAACAATTTAGTTTCTATGTGCAAAATTGGACTGTCGTGTCTCTTGCTTTTATGTTTCAATTTAAATGTCTACTTTGAAATTGTTTTTATGACTTTTATTTCTGGGTTCTTCTTGTTACAATACACTTTGCTGAGGAATTAGTTAAACCAAAAGGAAATAGAGTGGAATGCAGAGCAATGTCTCCTTCAGCATCCTCCTCAGGGGTTGAAGAATGATGGACCCCCTTTTGTAGGTCTGTTATTACATCACACATAAGTACAAGAGGAACAGAATTTGTAGTGCAACTAAACAATGCTGTTTTCATGATTTTCTTCAAGACAACAAGATCCTGTGGACACCCGTGGCATCTGCTTTACTTCCCCATCCATAGTCCCTGTGAAGTAGGTCGGGCTGAAAAGTGAGCCTGGCCCTCAAACCATTCTGTGAGTTTCCATGGCTGAGGGTAAACCTGGGCCTAATCACAGTATTGTAATCACCGCAACATAGTTATGGAAGCTGGTGGAGGGATGGAAGGCTAAACTCTATGATTTATATCCACAGGTTGTTCCTTTAATCTCTGCTGCAAGATTGTGCTTGGCATTTCGGTGGTGGGAAATGTAGCTCTGGCTGTGCTTTTGATTCTTCTCATACATGGTAAGACAAGTATAGACTAGACTAAACTAGACTAGACTAGACTAGACTAGAATAGAATAGAATAGAATAGAATAGAATAGAATAGAATAGAAGCTGGAAGCAGTGGTGGGATTCAGCCAGTTCGCATCACTTCAGCAGAACTGGTAGCTAATTTTTTGTTGCCCAGGCCCAGATTGGACTTCCAGAAGTGGCATCCACACAGAGAACCAGTTGTTCACATATTTGACTCCCACCACTGGCTGGAAGGGACCTTGGAGGTCTTCTAGTCCAGCCCCCCACTCAAGCAGGAAAACCTACCATCTCAGACAATTGACTGTCCTGTCTCTTCTTAAAAACCTCCAGTGATGGAGCGCCCACAATTTCTGAGGACAAGCTGTTCCACTAGTTAACTGTCCTCACTGTTAGGATGTTTCTCCTTAATTCCAGGTTGCTTCTCTCTTTGATCAGTTTCCAACCATTGTTTCTTGTCCTGCCCTGTGGTGCTTTGGAGAATAATTTGATCCCATCCTCTTTGTGGTAGCCCCTCAAATACTGGAACACTGATATCATGTCACCCTTATTTCATCTTTTCTTTAGACTAGCCAAACCCAAGTCCTGCAGCCATTCTTCATATGTTTTAGTCTCCAGGCCTTTGATCATCTTAGTTGCTCTTCTTTGAACTTTTTCCAAGGTCTCAACATCTTTTTTGTAGTACAGTGACCAAAATTGGTTGCAATATTCCAGGTGTGGTCTCTGAAGTCTTCTCCTAGCTTGTCATGCTTTTCTTAGCTATAGGAATAACCAGCACCATATTCACACTCAAGATATTTTATTTAATTATTAAATTCAGAAACCACCCATCTTCCTCTCAGAGGGACTCTGGGCAGCGTACAAATAAAATATTAAAACATAAAAATAGTATATAAAATGTTTAAAAGAGGCAAGGATGAGTACAAGTTAATCAAAAGGGGAGGGAAGAGTTTTCAGTGCTAACCAGCCCTATGGCTGTGTGCTCCACTGTAGAGCCATGTTTTTACACCTTTCCAAAAGGCCAGGAGAGCAGGGGCCTGCTTCACCTCCGGGGTGGGGGGGGGAGGATGTTTCAAAGGATGACAACAACAGCAGAGAAGTTTCTCTTCCTGGACTCTGCCAGTTGGAATTCTTTGATGGGGTCATGTCTATGGCGATTCTCAGTCATCCAGGTCAGGGTTGTCCCAAAGTTGCTGTAAGGACCCACCCCACTTTGCATCTTAAGAAGACAGAACTCTTGGAATAGTTCTTCCAACAGGAATCCTTTATTAAGAGAAAATGGTTGCAGGTGTTCTAGATGGGGACTTGGGGTCCAAGCTCTCCCATTCAAGGTTTTAAGGGGTTTCCCAACAGCCCCACCCAATCAACCCCTTCTTCCAGCGACAGTCTCAGGCATTACACTCCCACCCCCTTTTCCTTACTGCCGGCTGGATGGAGACTTCAGAGAGAACTACATGAAAGGTAATAGCCCCCTTTGTTATGGTTAGTCCTTTTGGTACTATCCAGATTCAGTTCCTTTGAAGTATACTGAAGGAAGTGAGGGCCATAAAGCCCCTTTGTTCACCCCCTTCCCTTCATCATATGACAGAATCCAGAGAGGGCAGAAATGGGGTTTTCTATAGTTGATAATTAGAGATGAAATATAATTGGATTCTGACAGTTGCTTTTCCAAAAAGTTGCTTTTTCCAAAAAGTTGCTTTTTCCAAAAAGCAACTGGACTTTCTTGGTTTTTTTTCTTCTTTGAAAACATTTTGCTTCTCATCCAAGAAGCTTCTTCAGTTCTGTCAGTTGTCTTTTGGAAAAAGCACCTTTGGGACTTTGATGGGGTCCGCAACATGCTTTTCTTACCTGATTGGGCAGGACGAGCTGAGGTAATGGGGCAAAGATGATTCTGGTTCCACACCATGTAAGGTTTTAAAGGTCATAACCAACACCTTGTATTAGACCAGGAAACATCAACTGGCATCAATGCAACTTCTGCAACAAAGGTGTTACATGCACCATTCTTTGGGCATCCAAGATTGCCTGCACGGCCACATTCTGTACCAGCTGAAGCTTCTGTATATTTTCAAGGGTAGCCCCATCTACAACATAGTGCAATAGTCCAAACAGTAGATGACCACAGCATGAGTGACCAAGCAATTAATAACTTGAATTTGTGAATTGGCCTCATTGGTGAGGAAATCCTTTGAAATGACTGAATCTGAGACAAAAATACTTCTTAATATTTTACTTTTATTCATAGAGACTTTGTTTCTTAAAATAATTCAGAATACCAAAAGTCTAATGGGTTTTCTACTTTCCTGAGCAGTTTGTGAACCAATACAAACCAGATGGTGTTGTTGGATGGCATTACACTCAAATTATTTTTTTTTTAAAGATTTTCAGGTTTATTCTGTTTCAAAATCTGCACCTTACCAAATCCAGAGTTGCTTGCTTAACTGTATTCCTTGTCGATCAGCTACAAACAGTGTAAAAGGTAAACTCCAACTGCTCTAGCATTGAGCAACATATTTATTCCTCTTTGTGGTTTCAAAGACATAGAAGATGTAGTAGGAAAGCTCACCTACTGATGAGGTGTTTTCAGAAATAGACTTTGCTCCAGCGACAGGATGATCCAGTGTCCTTCAAAGTTCCAGGGTGATCATTTTGGCTTCCTAGCAAAATGGGCTTTGGACTGCAAAATAAAGCAAGGTCATCTGATGTTGCTCAAAAGGGATACAGTCCCTTTTGTAGTTATTATACTGTCCTCTGGCAATATGCATTGCTGAAGAAATTGGCCATTCAGTTGCAACAGGAACTACAGTAAGAACAAAGGTAACTTTGCAACAGGAACTTAACAGGGGTGTGAGCTGTGTTTGCCTGCCTAGTCTTTCCATCTGAGTTAAGAAATTAGGTTGCTGCTGTTTTTCTCCCTTTGGGCACAATCCAGCAGAAAATGAAATGCTTTCTTCAGGTATCAAGGAGAGAAATGTCCCTCAGAGGTTTCCAAATGAGGCCAGTTTGAGGGAGATCTATTTCAAGCCCATCCCCAAAAGTAAAGAAATAGAAAAGCAAAGTGATGAACTTGAGTTCAAAAGAAATGTGCATCTTCCAGTGCAGTGGTTCTCAACCTGTGGGTCGGGACCCCATTTGGGGTCGAACGACCATTTCACGGGGGTCGCCAAACAAGGCTGACCGCCATTTTTTCCCCTTTTTCTTTGGCCACGCCCCTGGCACCCGGTGATGTATAAGTGGTTGGGGGTCACCACAACATGGGGAACTGTATTATGGGGTCGCAGCATTAGAAAGGTTGAGAACCACTGTTCCAGTACACAATATCAGCCATCCGAGAATAATTGTGGGTTAAAAATCATAGCTGTGTAGCTCAATGCTAGTTATAATAGGTTCACGTCTTGAATTTAGATCCACATCTATTTCAAAGTGAGACCTCCCGTTTTAGAGGAATGGTTTATAAACACTCTGGATAGGTGCACTGCATAGGCATTAACACAAGGGAAGCATATCCCCAAGTATCATATTCCTTCTGCCTAAGTTTCACAATATCTGGGTGGGGTTAGTCCTCTAGATGAAACAGTCCTACATCAGGAGCTATATACTCCTCTTCCTGCTGGTTGGAGACATGCCTCCCTTTCCTGGAAGAAGGGCAAAGATAAACAAGATAAAACTTCTAGACCAGTGGTTCTCAACCTTTTTAATGCTGCGACCCCCAGCCGGTCGTAAGTCGAGGACTACCCAACTGGTCGTAAGTCAAGGACTACCCAACTGGTCGTAAGTCAAGGACTTTCCCTGCCTGGGAGCGCCGCGCATGCGTGGTGCCACCTCCTGCGCCGGCTGAGGCATAGCTGGCAAGAGGCAGAGACAGTGCAGGCCGACCACCGGCTGGGCCACCAGCTGGCCCAGCCAAGGGAGGTAAGGCACCCGCCGGGCCCCACGCATGCCAGCAAACCTCCCTGCGCCCGCCAGCCTCCCACCTCCCACCCCTAGCCCTCTTTTACTTACATTTTTAGTAGTTGCTCAGCAAGGAGGGGTGGAAACTTCCAGACAGCTCGCCTTTGCTGCAGACAACTTGCAGCACCGTTTGCAGAATGGGACTTTTGGCGGGCTAAGCAGGGCAGAGACAGCCTGGACAATTCCTACTGGCTTTTGAAAGCCAATAGAATTAGACTCTATTCAAGAGAATCTATTCTATTGGCTTTCAAAAGCCAATAGAATAAAAGGGAGTAGCACAGCTAAGGAAAGGGGAAAAAATGGCGGACTGTGTTGTTTGGTGACCCCCGTGAAATGGTCGTTCAACCCCAAATGGGGTCCCGACCCACAGGTTGAGAACCGCTGTTCTAGAACAATGGCTTCAGTGCTGTGGTGCTTCAGCAGATTCTGCAATGGAAGGTAGAAAAATAAAGCACTGAATGATTTAACTTTAATACAGGTAACCCTCAATTTACAACCTGGACTGAGCCCAAAATTTCCATAGCTAAGCAAGGCAGTTATTAAGTTTGTCATGTCCCATTTTATGACCTTTTTTCCATGGTCATTAAGCAAATCACCACAGTTAAATGAATCATGTGATTGTTACACAAATCTGGCTTCCCCCTTTTACTTTGCTTGTCAGAAATTCCCTAGGAACGTTGCAGATGACAATCCCAGGAACCTGAGATGCTATAACCCTCATAAATACATCCCAGTTGCCAAGTGTCCAAATTTTGATCAGTTGACTGTGCGGATGCTGTAACGGTCATAAGTTGAAGAACCAGTCATAAACTGCTTTTTGTAATTTTGAACAGCCACTAAGCAAATGATTGTAAGTTGAGAACCATCTGTAGAGGCAAAGAAAGAGAACATGTGAAAAGACAAGTTTACATGGTGCTGCAATCAACACATCAAAACTAGCAATCATTAATTTGAACAAGAGAGAATTAGGGGGAGGGAAAGTAGGAACAAAATTAAAGTTTTAATCAAACCTCACGTTTACAGAGAAATGGAAGGAAGAAGATGTCTGTTAAAACCAAATATCTGTTAAATCAGAATTTATGGAAATTTTACACAAGAGCCATTTTGTGCACAATGTAGGCAAATCTTATGTAAATGATGCAAACTGTATCTTAATTATGCAACATGACTTTGTAATTTATTTTAAATTCCTAATTTTTGCATTACCCAGGTAACATTTATATAAAATATGAAGTCTGGGGTTTTTTTTTTCAATTGCATCCAGAGGCAACTGATAGAGTGTCCATAAAACAGAAAATTTACTGTGTACAATTGAGCAAAAGCAATTCTGAAAAGACATGCAGTTCTTTGATTCAATTGCTTACTTTTCCCAGCCAACCTTATCTTATTACTTCCAGTTCTCCCAAGATTTGGGGGCAGAAAGCCTTAATCCTTCGCCCAATCAGACAAAATCTGTTGTTTTGGGGTTTTGTAAATTAATAACGTAAGAAAAACTAGATGGCATGCAAAAGATGGTAATTTCTTCTCCCTAAAACTATTTTCTTTCTTTCAAACAGCAAATCTGACTCTGGATCCAAGCACAGCTCACCCCCAGCTCCATGTATCTTCTGATTTGAAAAACGTGAGATGGAAAGGAATGAAACAGCAAGTGAAGGGCAGTCTTCTGAGATACGAACTTTGGCCCAGTGTCCTAAGCCACGAGAGCTTTAACTCTGGGAAGCTTTGCTGGGAGGTGGAGGTGGTAGCAGAAGGAAACTGGGGGGTGGGAATTGTTAGGGAGTCTGCAAACTGAAATGGGCACATTCTCCTTCAACCAAGAGGAGGTTACTGGGGAGTGCAGCGAATTAATGGATACCATCAAGCCACCACTCAGCCCAGGACAAATTTGTTACTGAGCTATCCGCCGAGAAGGATCCGAGTTTCTCTGGATTATTCACAGGGCCTCATAGCATTCTTTGATGGTGACACAAATGCTGAAATCTTCACTTTCCCTACAGCCAATTTTGCTGGGGAGAAGATCCATGCTTGGTTCTTGATCTATAAGTGGAATGGACAGCTTCTTCTCCATCCGTGAGATGGTGGAGCAAAAGGGTCATCACGTGAAGATCTCCAGACTATCTGCCTTCAGTTCTCCTCCGGTCCTTGTGTTTCTCCATGCAGACCATTGTCACGGATGTCTTTGATTTCCTTTGACCTTCCTTTGCCAGCTTGATTTAGAAGATAACTGCATTATCTTCTAAATCAAAGGTCTCTTTCTACCTCACCTTCCTCATGTCTCCTAGTGCCACCCCTAGCCAGCTAACCAGAGTCAAATATTTAAGGGATGAAACCCCCAGATTTTTTTCAGACATTCAAATATCAAAAAAACAACAGATCCACGGAGATTAAAACACAGGGAAAATGGATATGTCTGGGAAACCCCAGCAAAGGATAATTCTAGGATATTTTTAAAAGAAAAGAGATATTTTAAGAGGGGAACCCACCAATATACTTCTATGAGTCAGATCACTATGGAAGCATCTTAGATGCCATTTAAGTCTTCACACAATGCTGACTTCACTTTCTGAGGGCCACCTACTGCATGTCCTGTCTCCCATTAATCTCTGCATTTAGCGGCTCAGCAAGGCATTTGCTGGATTGCTCTTTCATTGCTTTTTAATATTACTCCTCGGCCAAAAGAGAAGAAATAATTGAGACTGCTGGCTAAGTATCTAACATCCAGAACATCAAAGGAAAAGGGGTAAATCACGCCTCATTTTTAGCAAGTTGTGCAAAGCCAACCACTTGTTTTTAATCAATAAATTATGATTATAAAACTGTGTTTTAGCATGACTCAGCAAGTTGTTCACTATGAATTGGAAGAAGGAACCTCATGAGCATCTGGAATTCACCCATTATGAATAATGCCAATTGATGAGATCTATAAGCCCCCAAACTACATATTATTTCAGTGGGCAAACAGTAGATGAAACTGAGATCTCCTCTAATAATTGGGAATCCGGAGACAAAAATCACTTTTTCCTGGTCTTCTTTGGGAAACCCAAAATCAGTTAAGTTTGGAAATTGTTGTAGGCTCATTGGAAAACAAAGAACTCTCTTTTGTTTTCCTAATTAAGTTGACAAAGTGTGTTAGACAATTATTGCCATCATGTATGGAATTTCCTGACCCAGTTCTACACATTAACCACCCATTGCTTCAATGAGGTGTATCTACACCAGTCATTAAAAGGCCTTGGTTCTTTGGTATAGATCAGGGGTAGGCAACCTTGGCTCTTTTATGACTCGTGGACTTCAACTCCCAGAATTCCTGAGCCAGCCATGCTGAGGGGAAAGGGGGAGGTTTCCAAACTGAGCCATGCTGGCTCAGGAATTCTGGGAGTTGAAGTCCACGAGTCATAAAAGAGCCAAGGTTGCCTACCTTTGGTATAGATAGACCATTTTCCTGTTCTTCTCGTAAGTGCCCACACACAGTCAAAGTGTTCCCAGACTCCCATATTCAGAGTTCAATTAAAACAACTTTAAACTCCTCACTATCTGTAACTACTTCTTTGCCCCTATCAAGTCTCAACTTTCACGGAGCCTCTTGCTGGGAAGACAGATGGCTGCCCAGATACACACTGAGATCTGCTTAGTTGGTTCAGATGCTCCATTGCAATCGTGTTCACTCTTCATCTCTGTTTCCTATACTGAATTTAAGAAAGAAAATAACTCGGACTTGGAGAGATAGAAACCAAATGAGTGAAACCCAAACATTTAGTTCCCAATGAAATATTGACACTAATTTCTAATGGAAGGAGAGCCTATCTGCCTACAAAGAGGCTCTTAAAGCTAGATAGAACTTTTTATTTCAAGGCACCTTCTTCAACAATGCAGTTGTGAGTCATTAGGGGCTCATCCCCATATCCTGGGATGATTCATTCTGTTGCATAGGAGGTGTGCCAGCAACAACTCCTTCCGACTACTTTCCCAATCCAGCCACCTGACTTCTTCCTCAAGACTTGCGGTAAACACTTGCAACTAAGCTTAAAGAAACAGGTTGGGCAGTAAGGAGCAGAAACAGCTACGTCCATGTCTGAATCAGACTGAAAACACATCTCAGCTAACTCTCCTATGGGCAACTTCAAGCATCATTGTGCATCAATTCACTACTGATGATTGTAACTAAGGGACTCTTATCCCACTTGGGCAAAAATTATTTACTAACTTGGAGGCTGGTTTTGTGAAACCAGTTACACAATTGTATCAGACTGGCTGTTTGAAGAACCTCAGAGAACTGCCACTTCCTCTTGCGAAGACTATAAAACTTGCTGCCACCAAAATTAATCAAAAGTTCTAGAAGATGGATGAAGATGGATATATGAGTATAGATCCAAGTAAGAGAGACCATCCCTTGCCAGCCATTAAAGGAAAGAAAGGTAATATAGCTATTTATTTTTCTTTATTTTACTCTGCATATTGGCACTAAGATTTTTTTTAAAGGGAAGTTGAATAAAAAATGAAAATTAATCTGGTCCCTATTGTTCTTGGAGAAAAAAAAAAACCAGAGACAGTGAATTCTAGTTCTGCCTTAGCCATAAAAACCAGCTTGGGGACTTTGGGCTGGTTACTCTCTCTCACTACACAGAGTTGTTGTTGTGGGGAAAATAGGAGGAGGAAAGGGTATTAGATATGTTCATCACCTTGAGTTGCTTATAACAATAATAAAGGTAGAATATTAAATAAATGTATAAATTACATCCAGAACCTAGAAACTAAAACAGAGATGTTGGCTGGCTGGCAAGATAAACAACCGAGCTTTTAAAAATGGCAATAAATCTCATTTCGTACAATGGAACAAAATTCTGGAAAGATAAAAATCATTTTTAAACTTTACAGAATTACAGAATAACAGAATGGACCTTGGAAGTCTTCTAATCCACTTCCTGCTTAAGCAGAAAATCCTATACAATGACAGACAAATGGCTGTTCAATCTCTTCCCACAATGTCTGGAGGCAAACTGTTCCGCTAATTAATTGTTCTCACTGAAAGGAAATTTCTTCTTAATTCTAGGTTGGATCTCTCTCTGATAAGCTTCCATCCATTACTTGCCCTCAGGTGCTTTGGAGAATAGGTCAACCTCCTCTTCTCTTGACAGCCCCTCAGATATTGGAAAACTACTATCATGTCGCCTAGTCGTTCTCTTTGTTAGACGAGACATACCCAATTCCTGCTACCCCTCTTCATATGTTTTAGCCTCCAGTCCCCTAATCATCTTTGTTGCTCTTCTCTGCACTCTATCTAGAGTCGCAACATCTTTTTTATATTGTGGTGTCCAAAACTGGACCTGGTGTTCCAGGTATGGTTTTACTAATATAGGATGAAGTGGTAGTAACCTTCATAGGATCTTGATGCTATCCCTCCTTTGATGCAGCTTAGAGACTGCATTGGGGTTTTTTGGCAGCAGCAGCACACTGCTGGCTCATACTTAAGTTGTGGTCTGGTAGGACTCCAAGATCCCTCTCACAGTTTGACAACTCATCATACGAGTGGAACACTAATATTGCACTATTCTCATACTGGTGTATTACTAGTATGTATTATCACTAGTATCATGCTAGTGGAAGTCGTATGACAACTTGTCGTGCTAGTGGAAGTTTTTATAGAATGAATTTCCTATATTAAGGTTCCTTCTCTCCCTGGCACAGCACTGTATAACGTGTTAGGTTTCTTGTTTTGCAAACTGTGCTTCAGAGAGATCAAGTAATCCCATTCTTGCCTCATCAAATTGTCTACAATATTGTTTTCCTCCTTCTCCATCACCTAATGATCTAGTAATCTTAGACAGAAAAAAAAGAAAATGGGAGAAAAAGGAATACAGATTCACATCCACATGACCAGAGTTCTCTCAAGATAAACTTCCATACTTCAAGATTACAGTTTAATATATGCGGGAGGAAGAGAAGTCTGCAAAAAAGTTTACTTTCCTTTTCCAATCATTTCTGTTTTATAAAAATAGCAGATTGAAGGGAAGAATGCATATGAAGCAACTTAACAGACTTCTGCCACGTTTTGAGTATTTAAAAGTCTGATTTGTCTTCCTCCACGTGAATGGAAAATAAAGCTACTGTGTGCCATGATGTACTTTGCTGGCGCTGCCTGGAGAAAGGTTCTAAGTGGGAAATTCCAGCTGCTTCATATCTGTTCCAATAGGTGTGTGGTATCTACTTAGGGTGGGTTTGCTTTTTCCTGTAGAGCAGTTGATCCCAATCCACTAGACATGATTGATTGCTAAGATTGTATGAGTAGAATGGCACTGTCTATAATCATTTACTGCAAGAAAAAAATCGGGGTGACTATTGTAGTCTGATCAGGCTACGTGTAGAGAACTGAGCAACGAAGCAACTTTAGAGAAATACCTCATTTATATACCAAATGTCTCTTAGTTTAATTAATATATGGTCTTTTTATGCATTTTTAATATTCAGGATTTACAAGTCTCATTTTCAGCTCCGAGGGATTTTCCTGGAGATCAGGTGCTGGGATCTGCCCAGATTTTCTCAATCACAGGAAGCTGGGGTCAACATAACTTCTCCTTTCTGGTTCCTGTTTTCCACAGCCATTCTCTCTGGGCACCAGGAGAGAGGGGCTGTTCAGATGGGCTTGCATCTCATCCACAAGGAACCCAAAGGTGTTTTTTCAAAAGGCAACTGGACTTTGTTTGAAGACATTTCACTTCTCATCCAAACAGCTTCTTCAATTCTGAAGAAGCTTCTTGGATGAGAAGCAAAACGTCTTCAAGGAAAACAAAGTCCAGTTGACTTTTGAAAAAGCCCTTTTGGGACAACCATGACCTGGATGGTTGAGAATCTCTCTAGACAGATCCACAAGGAAAGTGGTAGAACTTCACTGCCTCAAGACACATCTATCCCTCACCCACAAAAGAAGTACTGGGTTTGAAGATGATCCCAGGATGGTGGAGGTTGTTCTCTAAATAAACCTAATAATAATAATAATAATAATAATAATAATAATAATAATAATAATAATAATAATAATAATAATAATAATAATAAGAATAATAAGAAGAAGAAGAAGAAGAAGAAGAAGAAGAAGAAGAAGAAGAAGAAGAAGAAGAAGAAGAAGAAGAAGAAGAAGAAGAAGAAGAAGAAGAAGAAGAAGCAACAATGGTGCATTGGAAGATCTGCAAAAATATCATTTGCCTATATCATAAAATAGAGAAAGTCATAGAAAATGATAAAATTAAACTGCTCTGGGACTTCAGAATTCAAACAGACAAGCACCTGCAACATAACACCCCAGACTTAACAATTGTCGATAAGAAAGACAAAAAAGTCTGGATAGTGGACGTGGCAGTGCCTGGAGATAGCAGAATAGAAGAGAAAGAACTGGAGAAGATAACAAAACACAAAGACCTACAAATAGAAATAGAAAGACTGTGGCAAAAGCAAGCAAGGGTAGTACCAATAGTAATAGGCTCCTTGGCTGCAATCCCAAAATAACTGGAGCACCACTTGAACACCATTGGCATTGACAAATTCGCTATTAGTCAATTGCAAAAGGCGGCCTTACTAGGAACTACTTCCATCCTGCGACAATATCTGTAATACCATCAAACATCCACATCTGCCTATCCCAGGTCCTGGGTAAGGTCTCGATAGGTAGACAAAATGCCAAATCCAGTCTGAACATCTGGCTGACTGTGCGATGATCCATAATAATAATAATAGTAATAATAATAATGTTGGAAGGGATCTTGGAGGTCGTCTAGTCCAACCCCCTGCTCAGGCAGGAAACCCTATACCATTTTGGATAAATGGCTGTCCAGTCTCTTCTTAAAAACCTCCAGTGTTGGAGCATTCACCGCTTCTGGAGACAGGTTGTTCCACTGGTTAATTGTTCTAATTGTGAGGAAGTTTCTCCTTAGTTCTAGGTTGCTTCTCTCCTTGATTAGTTTCCATCCGTTGCTTCTTTTTGATTATTCTTCTCTATTTCCTCCCATACTTCTTTCCAGTAGAGCAGTTTGTAAAGAACCTGGTCTACCCAATATTGGACTGCCATTGTCTGGATTGGTGGAAGGATTTCTGTCCTTGATAGGGAGTTGGAACAGAGGAAGTCCAAGTCCCCTTTCGATCCTGTGAATGATGCTATGGTTCTCTCTCCATATGGAAGGTCTATATCCTGGATTTTTTTCTCCTCCTGCCTTATAGGTAGTCCTCGACTTACAACGATTCATTTAGTGACCGTTCAAAGTTACAGTGGCCCTGAAAAAAGTGACTTACAACCATTTTTCACCCTTACAACCACTGCAGCAGTCCCATGATCATGTGATCAAAATTTGGATGCTTGACAACTGGTTCATATTTATGATGGTCGCAGTGTGATCTCCCTCGGTGACCTGACAAGGAAAGTCAATGGGGAAGCCAGATTCACTTAACAACCAGGTTACTAACTTAACAACTACAGTGATTCATTCAACAATAGTGGCAAAAAAGGTCGTAAAATGGGGCAAAATTCACTTAACAAATGTCTTGCTTAGCAACAGAAACGTTGGGCTCGATTGTGGTTGTAGGTCGAGGACTACTTGTATATTGTCATGGACTGCAGCCACTTTTATCGGAGGCACCCGGTGTCAGCACTTTAACAAAGGGAGGAGAAACAAAGCCAGGGGAATCCACTAATCACCTTCCATTGCTGGTCTTTCCTTAACACTGTAAGGACAGAACTATCTACCAGTCTCTGAGGCAGAAGTGGACTCGGAAATCTGGACAGCAAATTTTAGGCTAGCAGACTGCTTGAAGGACAGATGCATTGCAGGTTAACATGACCATCTAGAGCAGTGGTTCTCAACCTGTGGGTCGGGACCCCATTTGGGGTTGAATGACCATTTCACAGGGGTCGCCAAACAAGGCTGTCCGCCATTTTTCCCCCTTTTCTTTGGCCACGCCCCTGGTACCCGGTGATGTATAAGTGGTTGGGGGTCACCACAACATGGGGAACTGTATTATGGGGTCGCGGCATTAGAAAGGTTGAGAACCACTAGTCTAGAGTAAAATAGAATAGAATAGAATAGAATAGAATAGAATAGAATAGAATAGAATAATAACTTTATTGTCACTTTGAATGTACACTAATCAGCATACATTAAAATGAAATTTTGTTGCATATAACTCTCAAAGGGTCACCACCTCCAATATAGAATACATAAATATGACATAAATAAAATAAAATAAATCTGGCAGTGGCCCTAAAAACATCTTTCCTAGGAAAGATCCAAAGAACACATACCTCATCCCCCTAATTTTTGTTTGAGAAGCTGCGTCTGCCTATAATACCTCCTCTTTGTAGAACTTGAACTCAAGACAGTGTGGTGCTAGACATGAATAAGGAAGCAAAACGTCCCCTCTCTAAATTACCCTGTGCTCTGTAAAATTATCTTCACAGACTCCAACCTAAGGATCACGAGTTGTTCTTTCTGGTCTTGACAAAGGCTGCTAATCTAATTTTTTTTGTCACGTTCTTACCTCTGGGCTCATTATGTCACATAAAGCCTTTCTAAGATATTAGTAAAAAGGCAAGCTATTTAATGCCGAGCTGGGAAGCTTGGCTGCATTTTTTTAAAATAAGCTTCTCTAAATGAATGGTATTAGTGTTTTGTTATTGTTGCCTTATTCACTTCGTGCTTCCAGATGTACATAACAATGTGCACAGCACACCTGTCTGTTTTATTTTCTAACTGAAACATCCTTTTAAGGTAAACTGGGCTGAGGGAGGGAGTATGATCAGCCCACAGTCACTCAAATTTCTGTGGAGGCAGATGGATTTCAACCTATTCAAGAACTTTTATGTTACAATACTTTATATATAACATATGCCAGTGAAACATGGACACTAACCTCACAATCGATACAAAAGCTATGAGTGGCACAAAGAGTCATGGAAAGATACATGCTTGGCATTTCAAGACAGGATAGAAAGACCTGCACCTGGATTAGAGAACAAATGAAAGTATATAATAATATCATCAAGAGAGTAAAAGAATTGAAAAGAAAATGGGCTGGTCACACAGAAAGGAAAACGGATGGCAGGTGGACCTAGACCAGCGGTTCTCAACCTATGGGTCGCGACCCCATTTGGGGTCGATCGACCATTTTTCAGGGGTCACCAAAGGTGGCGATCCGCCATTTTTCGTGGTGCCGCGCATGGGCGTCGCGCACGGGGGTGGCACCGCGCATGGGCGTCGCGCATGGGGGTGCCACGCATGACGCCGCGCATGGGCCCCACCCCCATGCGTGCGGTGCCGCGCATGCGCAGAACGTTTGTGTCACGGGGGTCGCCGTCACACAAACGTTGAGAAGCACTGACCTAGACAGTCATAGAATGGATCCCACTTGATAAAAAGTGTCCATGAAAGAGACCTAAAACAAGATGGATCGACGACATCAGCAAGTATTGTGGGCCCAATTGGCAAAAGAAAGCCCAGGACTGTATTGGTTGGAAACATGCGGAAGAGGCCTTCATCCTGCAGTGGATGGAACAACAGCTAAAATAAGGTGACCAACCGTCCTCCTTTAGGGAGGACAGTCCTCCTTTTGTAAGTTCTGTCCTCCCTTAAAAAGTGTCCTCCTACATGTCCTCCTTTTCGATATTTGAAGACTAATCTGCAGGGCTTTTTTTCTCATAGAACGCTCAGAACGGTGTTCCGGAACCTTTTTTTGATGGTTTTTTTTTCAACTTTTACATGAGCTGTGCTACTTCCGCTATTGGCTTTCAAAAGCCAATAGGAATTGCTGCTGAGCGTGCCAAAACACCCAACCGGCAAACTTTGCACATGCAAGTTGTCTGCAGTGAAGGCAAATTGGCAGGAACTTAGCACCCCTGCCTGCTACCCAACTACACCATCTCCTAGTTAGTTCTGAAGATATCGTGCTGTGGGAGCCGTGGGGCCCTCTCTACATGGGGCTGCGCAGGGTGGCTGGTGAAGCTGGCAGGGCAGCTGCAGGTGGGGTGTGTCGACGGCAGGCTGCCCCCCAGGGCCGGACCTGGCGTGGCTGGTGCTTTGGGAGCCGCGGGGCCCACTCTACATGGCAGGGCAGCTGTGCTGGCAGGGCGGCTACGGATGGGGGCACGGCAGGCGATTGACCTTCCATGGGCCAAGCCAGTTTTTACGATATTTTTTTCTTCAATTTATTTGTGTCCTCCTTTTTATTGTAAAAAAGTTGGTCACCTTAGCTAAAATGATTATGATCATGATGAAATGTCAAAAGAATCTGTGTTCAAACACCAATGACTAGGCCAGGAGTGTCAAACTGCTGGCCCACGGGCCTGACATATCATCCTGAAGCCACGTCCACTCCATTGCCGGCAATGGCAAAACAATCCCGATACGAGTTTGACATGTCTGATCTAGGCCATCTAATCACTGAAGCACAGCATCGTTTATATTTAAAAAATCAGACACTGGACAGGTATGTGCCCTGAGCTTACAGCTGGTCACAGTGTGACTTACAGTTTGATATGGGATCCCACAGGCCCACTTAGGGGAGGATACTATATCCCGTTTATATAGAGAGTGCCAGCAGATGTCATGTGAGGGACGAACCCTATTCTGGGTTGTCCATAGCTGAGGTGGTTGTTCAAAGCCTGGCACCTTTTTTTGTGGGGTCATTCATATGTCTTCCTATGTCTGGGCATTCAGCCACCCATTTGGCTTTCCATTGGGAATTGACGCTAAAGTTACAATATTTCATGTAAATCAAGGAACGGGTGATGAACTTCACAATTCCCTTCCAATCCCACAGATCCTTCAGTGAATCCTCTCGTATGGAAAGTTCTGCTTGGCATTTCGACTGTGGGAAATGTGGCCCTGGCTGTGCTTTTGATTGTTCTCACTCTTCCAGGTAAGGAATGTTCTGCTTTCTTCCTTGAACCTGTCATCCTTCTCTCCAGTCACCCTATACAGGTAGTCCTCGACTTATGACCACAACTGAGCCCAACATTTCTGTTGTTCAGTGAGACATTTGTTAATAGAATAGAATAGAATAGAAAATAGAAATAGAGATAGAGATAATAGAATAGAATAGAATAGAATAATAACTTTATTGTCACTTTGAATGTACACTAATCAGCATACATTAAAATGAGATTTTATTGCATTCAGCTCTCAAAGGGTCACCACCTTTGATATACACCGCATAAATATGTCAAAAATAAATAAATAAATACAGAATTATGCATATACCCACATATGTTATATGACACAGAGAAACAACAGTTAAGTGAGCTTTGCCCCTTTTTACAATCTTTCTTGCCCCAGTTCTTAAATGAATCACTGCAGGTGTTAAGTTATTAACCAGGTTGTTAAGTGAATCTGGCTCCCCCATTGACTTTGCTTGTCAGAAGGTCGCAAAAGGGGATCACATGAACCCCCGGGACATTGCAACCAGTTGCAATGTGAAATTTGTAGTGTGAACCAGTTGCCAAGCATGTGAAATTTGCATCATGTGACCATGAGAACGCTACAAAGGTTGTAACTGTGAGAAATGGTCATAAGTCACTTTTTCCAGTGTCATTGCCATTTGAATGGTCATTAAATGAACTGTTGTAAGTTGAGAACTACCTGTAGTGCTTAGAATGCAGTATTGCAGGCTACTTCTGCTGACTGCCAGCTGCCAGCAGTTCGGCAATTCGATTCTCACCATCTCAAGGTTGTCTCAGCCTTCCATCCTTCCGAGGCTGGTAAAATGAGTACCTAGATTTTTGGGGAGCAACACACTGACTTGATAAACCACTTAGAGAAGGCTGTAAAGTACTGTGAAGCGGTATATAAGTCTATGCGCTTTTTCTATGTAAGTGCAACTCATCTGCTAAACAGGAGTGATTTAGACAAATAATGGTAATTTAGGATTATTTCTATTACTCAGTAATATTTTGCTGTCAGTATAGGTAGTCCTTGACTTATGACTAGTTGCTTGGTGATCGTTCACAGTTATGATAGACCAGGGGTGTCAAACTCAAATTCTTTGAGGGCCGCATCAGCATTGCGGTTGCCCTTGGGGGGCTGGGTGGGTGTGGCCTACTGGGTGGGCATGGATGGAGTGGGTGTGGCCTACTGGGTGGGCATGGCCAGCTCTATATCGCATCAAGGGTGCCTGTGGTGGCTGGGCAGGAGTGGGCAGATCTGAGGGTCTCTGGCAGAAGGGGGTGGGACCAGGACAAGTGCCAAGGCACGGTCCATTTCTTCATTCCTCACAAAGGGTGACACCTCCCCAGCATGCACCCAGGGGGCGGGGCCGACACAGCAGGGGCTGGTTCCTCGCTGTTTCTAGACGGCCTTGTGGAGATAAGACTGAATGTGTTTCAGCATAGATGGCCACCACAAAATTGTACATTGGCTCCCGGCCGGACTGGGCCAGGGCCAAGGCAGCAGGGGCTGTTCCCTCACTGTTTCCAGGATGGCTTTGCAGGCCACATGAAACCACGTCGCGGGCCACATCCGGCCCCTATGCTGTGTTTGACATGTCTGCGATAGACCTTCCCAGAACTATTTATGAACCAGTTGTGAAGTTCAGATTTGGGGGGCTTAGCAACTGGCCCAACTTTATGGATTTTTGCAGCATCCTGTGGTCAGGTGATCCCCATTTAAGAAGTTATTGGTCGGCAACTGGCATATACTTCCAGTTTATGCAGCAAAAAATGTCCCTTGGGTACAATGGGTTTGCTTCGTGGTCTCAGTGCAAACACACACAAAAATCCTGAAAACAGGAGCAGTTGCATGGTGACCTGCTTAATGACCTCCATGATCTAACATCAAAATTCGGGCTCAGTTGTGGTCATACCCTGCTGTATATTCCAAGATATACTGGATGATCAGAAAATATGCGGAGCGTCATAACATTTTAAGTTTTTCCCATCCCTTTTGCTGAAATGCCAACTGCATAGATCTGAACAGACTGTCAATATGCAATCCATCAGTCCGAGTAAAAAATATATATTATGCTGCATACATCACTCGTAATGTGTGAAATTGCAGAGGGTAAGACAGATAGCAATAGCACTTAGACTTATATACCACTTCACAGTGCTTTGCAGCCCTGTCTAAGCAGTTTACAGAGTAGCGTATTGCCCCCCAACAATCTGAGTCCTCATTTTACCGACCTTGGAAAGATGGGAGGTTGAGTCAACCCTGAGCCTGTCAGGATCAAACCCTTGGCAGTCAGCAGAATTCGTCTGCAATACTCCATGCTAACTACTGCACCACCACGGTTCCTTCAAGATGCGCTTGAAAAAAGATAGGGCAGATCTGTTTCCAAATTGACAAGAGGAAAAACATGGCTTAGGTCCAAAAGAAGAAGAAGGTATGTGATTAGGCAGACACCTCCCTAATTCACATGTATATAGATCATACCTTGTATTTGAGAGGCTTTATATGAGATCCTATGAGATTAGATTGGGCTTGTCACTGTGAGCTTCCAGAGATCTCTCAAGATCTGGTTTTGCCAGCAGCCCAGGGAACAGGTGAAATAGTCTAATATATCTTTGTCTATTATTCTTTGTCTTAGCTTGGTTTTTCTACTGTTTAATGTATTTATTCACTGTGGGATCCCTAAGCTTGAATGTTTTCTAGCAGACATTTCATTACCCAACTCGGTAACATCAACCGTGTTAGAAAGAAGTGAGGTTTGCATTCTGTTTATATGCAAATGGCTCGCCTTGTCGGTGTTGGTGGGAGTGTTATTAACTCTTGTTGATAATTATTAATGTATTATTATAATTCATTATTAGTATAATGATAATTAATTTTTAACAGTTAACTCTTTTTTAATTTTGTTTTACACCATGCAAACTCACTTGTTTGTGAGATGGGCAAATTACTGTTCTGCCCAGACGGAACTCGTGGCTCTGAATTCAATCTAAACAGACAGATAACTCGATAGAAATGATTTAAACAAACATTTATTGTCCAGGAATTCTAAGCAGAGGCTTACTATGCTGTAAATGCATCTGGTTTTCCATATTTGTTCATTCCTATAGGTAATTTAATATTGAATTTCCCCCTCTTCTTCTGCTGAGAGTCACACGTTGGCAAAACACATGTGGCTGGATGAACAAAGGCTTCCATCTGGCTTGTGTCCAGGAAGTCGCCCAATGACCCTTTTTGACTCCTCCCACTGACCCATCAACATACCCAGCATTTAACCCAATAACTGCCAGATATTCTAACATACTAACACATGCTCCCTAGTTAGAGTTACGTAGGTCTATGCTAAGTCCAGAACAGGCAGCTGTATAAATTAATTTAATAAATAAGTCATATTTGAGATAATTTAACACTAGGCAAGAGGAGCGGTGATTCAGTGGCTTAATGCCACTGAAGGTGGTCTCAGTTCTGGCAGTTCGAGCGTGGCAGGGTGAACTTGTTTCAGCTTCTATCCACCTAAAAGTTGGAAAGCATGTTTTATGTAAGTAGATAAATAGGTGTCACTTCAGTGGGAGACGAGCTGGTGTTCTGTGCAGGCAGGCAGTTTCCTGACAGCTCTGAACCTTCCCGATTGCAGTGCCCACCCAAGGGGGCTGCAGGAAGAGCCACTTGTCTTTCTTTCTGGTGCGCTTCACCCTCCTGTGGTGCACCTTGAGAAGCACACCATCATGTCTTTGCCAGGGCTGGTGCCTTAGCAAGCCAAACTACTTCTCTGTAATAGCATTGTGATTTCCTGGCTACTGTAACAACATCATACACCACTACTACTACTACTACTACTACTACTAATAATAATAATAATAATAATAATAATAATAATTCAAACAGACAGGCATCTGCAACATAACACCCCAGACTTAACAATTGTCGATAAGAAAGACAAAAAAGTCTGGATAGTGGACGTGGCAGTGCCTGGAGATAGCAGAATAGATGAGAAAGAACTGGAGAAGATAACAAAATACAAAGACCTACAAATAGAAATAGAAAGACTGTGACAAAAGCAAGCAAGGGTAGTACCAATAGTCATAGGCGCCTTGGGTGCAATCCCAAAACAATTGGAGCACCACTTGAACACCATTGGCATTGACAAATTGGCTATTAGTCAATTGCAAAAGGCGGCCTTACTAGGAACTGCTTCCATCCTACGACGATATCTGTAATACCATCAAACATCCACATCTGCCTATCCCAGGTCCTTGATAAGGACTCGATAGGTAGACAAAAATGCCAATTCTAGTCTGAACATCTGGTTGACTGTGCAATGATCAATAATAATAATAATAATAATAATCCCCCAGTGAGGCACTACCTTGACGTGGTTGTGGGGCTTGTGTACTCTGAGGAAGATGAGAGCTATGCCAGAGGTTCAACCATACTGGACAGGTCTCATCAGAGGAGTCAGACAAAGAGTGTCTCTCCCATAAAAAATATGGTGAGACGTAAATTTCAGAATGCCATACCGGCTTGGACGTCGCCCGGGTTAACAAGGTCCGCGCTAGATATTGGAGTTCCTGGATATCTGGTGAAAAAGGGGTTACAGGACTCAGGACTGTTGGCTGAGCAACCAAGGCCAGCAGCTGCAGAACTACTGGAAGAAAAGGTGTTTACCCGTCGCAGATACACAGTGATGGAAAACAAAGAAATAATGATCTGTTACTACAGATCAAGTCCAACAAGAAGAGGATATCTAAAACGAATGCACAAGTTCTGGAAAGAACAACATCCAGAATAAGAAATAACAGAACAGAGACTAGCAGATCAACGCCGATTTATAACACGAAATAAAGTATTCACAGAAACAGAATTGGATGAACTGCAAAGGTTTACCCAGGGCAAAGAAATCAAAGCCTTACCAGAAGTAATTCAGAATGTAGAGGCAAACCAGGGGGCAGTGAAGGAATCTAGCAGAGATATACAACTGTTTTCATTCGGAAACCAGGCACCTCTACCTCAGGAAGAACAAAACCCTCTAACTAAAGAAATAAAAGAATTGAAACAAAGAATAATTGAGCATCTAGAACAGCACAAAAACAACAGAATAAGGCTACCTGCATTGAAGCTTGTTCCAAAAAAACAGCTAGCACAAGCATTAAAAGATGCAAATACTGCAATAGCAAGTATAAGCACCAATTCACTGCAAGAAACAAACCAACTAATGTACAGCACATCTGCAGTTATAACAGAATACCTGGGATGTAAAATCAACAAAAAAGAAAAACAAACAAACAGTGCACCACAAAAATGGAAGGTTAGACTAGAAAATAAGATCAGCAAGTTAAGATCACATGCAAGCAAGCTAGAACAGATGAAAGAAAAGAAGCTGAAGAACAAGAAGACCAAAGAATACCTAATCAAGAAATACCACTTAGAAACAAGGAAGATCAAGGAAGCACTGGAAATAATAAAGCAACAAATAACAGCTACAGCCAGGAAAATCAGTAGATATGAAGCTCGAATTGCAAACTATAGGCAGAACCTCCAATTTCAATCCAATCAGAAACGTTTCTACCAATCCATCAATGGAGAAACTGCAAGGAATCAGTCAGTACCTGACAAGGAAGAAACACTGCAGTTCTGGAAGCAGATATGGGATAACCCAAAGAAATACAACAAGGATGCGGCTTGGTTAAAAGAGGTGGATGCAAATAAAACAGAAGTTGAAATGAAAGAACTAGTAATAACAACAAAAATGGTAGAAAAAAGAGCAAAGAAAATCAAAAATTGGTCAGCACCAGGTGAAGATGAACTGCATGGGTTTTGGTTGAAACATCTAACTGTTATACACCCACTCATTTCCAAGCAGTTCAACAATATACTACAAGGAGGAGAAATTGAAAAGTGGCTAACAACTGGGAAAACCTACCTAATAATGAAAAATCCAGCAAAAGGGGCAACACCAGGCAACTACAGGCCAATTACCTGCTTACCAACAACTTTCAAATTACTAACTGGTGTGGTAGCTGATGCAGTACAACAGCATCTAGTTGAAAACAATCTCTTTCCACCTGAGCAGAAAGGAAACCGCCCCAATAGCAGAGGAACAAAAGATCAACTCCTAATAGACAAAATGATCTTGGAAAACTGCAAGAGAAGGAAGACCAACCTGAATGTGGCATGGATTGACTACAAAAAGGCATTTGACTCTCTGCCACATGATTGGATAATAAAGTGCCTAGAAATAACAGGAGTCAGTAGAAACATCAGAAAATTTGTGCAAAGATCGATGGCACAATGGAAGACACAGTTGCAGATCAATGGTGAGAGGCTGGGAGAGGTTAATATCAAGAGAGGAATATTTCAAGGAGATTCATTATCACCATTACTATTTGTTATTGCACTGTTTCCTCTGTCAACAATACTGAATAACTCAGGACATGGCTATCAAACATCAAAAACATCTGCCAGACTATCCCACCTCCTTTACATGGATGATCTGAAGCTGTATGGAAAAACATCATCTGAAATAGAATCGCTGCTCAACACTGTCCGTATATATAGCCAAGATATTGTAATGGAGTTTGGCTTGGACAAATGTGCCACACTTACTATCAAACAAGGAAAAATATGAAAACTGAAGGAATCAAGATGCCCCACGAAAATAACATTAAGAGTCTGGATGAGGAAGAGTACTACAAATACTTGGGTATCCTTCAAGCTGACAACATCAAGCACACTGAAGTCAAGAAAAAGATTAGAGGTGAATACATCAAGAGAGTGAAGAAGATCTTAAAGTCCAAACTCAATGGAGGAAATACCATAAAGGCAATCAACACCTGGGCAATCCCAGTCATTAGGTACACAGCTGGAATAGTGGACTGGACTCAAGCAGAACTAAAAGCAATGGATAGGCAGACCAGAAAAATAATGACAATGAATCATGCCCTTCATCCACGCAGTGACATTGATAGACTTTATCTACCAAGGCAAATAGGTGGGCGTGGAATGCTACAAGTACATCAGATGGTTGAAGAAGAAAAAATGGCTTTGGAAGAATATCTGAAGAACAATGATGAAGATGCACTGAAATTAGTATATCAGGAAGGCTTACTAACTACTGGAGAGACCAAACTGGCCTACAAGAAAGACCAAATGAAGAACAGAATAGAGGCATGGGAAGACAAAGCACTACATGGCCAATACATGAAAAAAATAGCTGGGAAAGCAGATAATAATAAAACCTGGCAATGGCTAAGAGCAGGAAAATTGAAGAAAGAGACCGAGGGACTAATTCTGGCTGCACAAGACCAAGCCTTAAGGACAAATGCATACAAAGTCAAAATTGAGAAGACAGCAACAGACAGTAAGTGCCGCCTATGCAAAGAAGCTGAAGAAACAGTGGACCACTTGGTAAGCTGTTGCAAGAAGATTGCACAGACTGATTACAAGCAGCGGCATGACAAAGTAGCAACAATGGTGCATTGGAAGATCTGCAAAAAATATCATTTGCCTGTAAGCAAAAACTGGTGGGATCATAAAATAGAGAAAGTCATAGAAAATGATAAAATTAAACTGCTCTGGGACTTCAGAATTCAAACAGACAAGCACCTGCAACATAACACCCCAGACTTAACAATTGTCGATAAGAAAGACAAAAAAGTCTGGATAGTGGACGTGGCAGTGCCTGGAGACAGCAGAATAGAAGAGAAAGAACTGGAGAAGATAACAAAATACAAAGACCTACAAATAGAAATAGAAAGACTGTGGCAAAAGCAAGCAAGGGTAGTACCAATAGTCATAGGCTCCTTGGGTGCAATCCCAAAACAACTGGAGCACCACTTGAACACCATTGGCATTGACAAATTCGCTATTAGTCAATTGCAAAAGGCGGCCTTACTAGGAACTGCTTCCATCCTGCGACGATATCTGTAATACCATCAAACATCCACATCTGCCTATCCCAGGTCCTGGGTAAGGACTCGATAGGTAGACAAAATGCCAAATCCAGTCTGAACATCTGGCTGACTGTGCGATGATCCATAATAATAATAATAATAATTGCAAGTCCAGGTGATGCATGAATTGAAGAGAAACAGCTAGAAAAAAATAACAAAATATTGTGATTTGCAAATTGAAGTTGAGTGGCTGTGGAAGAAGAAATCAATGTGTCAATGCTGCTAACATCGGATGTTTTTGCTTTGACAACAGTTGGAGATACAACCATTTTCTTCTTATGTTTTACTTTTAGAGTTAGAGCTAGAGTTAGATGATGCTGGGGGGAGGAATGTGCATGAGAGTTCAGCTAGATATAACAATACTGGATCTAGTGTGGGACCCAAGGTTATTGGAATAAGAGATGATAAGAATTGGCCGGGCTGGAGGTCTGGAAGAAAAACCTGCATTTCAAACTAATTGGAGAATGTGATTTATGACTGTTAATTGGAGGAGGGAATTGTGTTGAGATACTATGTGCTGAGGAGAGGGGAATCCAGTTGACTATGTTAGTACTGATGCTATGCTTCTCAAATAAAGATTCTTTAAGGTAAACAATGCCTCAAAGTTCTTTGAAGAATTTCATCTGTCGCAACCATGACACATGGTTGTACTAATACTTATAGCAGCCCTTGGAGCAATACCCAAAGGGTTGCCTAGATACATGGAAATTTTGAACATTAGATCTGAATATCCTGACTTTGCAAAAAACCACCCTACTCGGTACTGCCTATATACTCAGATATTACCTTAGATTCTTGTTTAGGACTTGAACTGTTAGGTATTTACCAATCCCAGACTATGAATAAATTGAAGATTAATCGTAACAACAACAACAGCAACAACGATATCAGATGCTACCTTAAGAGCTCTTGGGTCCTTGATTAGGACTCGAGCTGTTAAGTATTTACCAGTCCCAAATTGTGAATAGAATTGAAGATTAACCATAATAATAACAAGGCTACACAAATGTAGTTTGTGATATTTTACTCTTATTCATACAGGTTTTCTTTTTAAAATAACTCCTTAAACCATCCCCCAACCTTCAAAATTCCAATGTTTTCTATTAGTTGAGGCATTTTTTTTGTGAACCAGGATGAAGTATCACAAAGGTATTTTATTTTGTGAATCAGAATAAATTATCTCGGATGGTGTCCTCGCTCTAAAGCTGATTTATTTCTTAAGCTTCAGAGAAATTCAGTGAACCGAATCTTCCATCAAAGCCAATCCCCAGTTGCCTGATGAATTGTATTCCTTGTCGATCGGCTAAGGACAGCGATACAGGTAAGCTCTGCTTTTTCCAGCATGAAAATGGGACTCTTTTCGTCTCCGCTTTCAAAGTTTTGCCACATAAAAGCTCATATACTGGTAGATGTACTCCTTGACTTATAACTATAATTAGGACCAGAATTTCCCCTGCTAAGCAAGGCCGTTGTTAAGTGAGCCATGCCTCATTTTATGACCTTTTTTGTTAAGTTGTTAAGTGAATTGTATGCATTAAGCAAATCCAGTTTCCCTCATTGACTTTCCTGAAGGTGGCTGTAAAGGTCACAAAAGGGGATCACGTGATTCTGGGACATTTCAACGGTCATAAATATGTGCTCGTTACCAAGCAGCTGGATTTTGATCATGTGACCATGGGGATACCACAACAGTCATCAGTGAAGGATTAGTCATAAATCACTTTTTTCATTGTTGTTGTAACTTGGAACGGTAACTAAACAAATGGTTGTAAAACAAGGACCACCTGTAAATGATTTCAAGAAATACATTTTGTTTCATTGACAGGGCCAGAATATTTTTTAATGGAATCCTGTTATGGCCCAATAAGGTTCCCTATCAAAATGGGCAGAGAATTGCAGAATAAAGCAAGGAACACCTGGTGTTCAGATCTTGCTGAAGACCTATAGGACTATATCAGGGGTAGGCAACCTTGGCTTGTTTAAGACTCATGGACTTGAACTCCCAGAATTCCTGAGCCAGCCATGCTGAGGGGAAAGGGAAAGGTTTCCAAGCTGAGCCATGCTGGCTGAGGAATTCTGGGAGTTGAAGTCCACGAGTCATAAAAGAGCCAAGGTTGCCTACCCCTGGATTATATCAACTGGTCATTTCTCTCTGTAGTAACTACACTCTGCTCTTGCAGTGAGCCTTGCTAGACAAATGGCCACATGAATTAAGCCCGAAGAAAACAGGGATCACCCATCTGGGGCTGGGACCGTATCCTCCTGCCTGATTTTTCTGCCTGAAGTAAGAAGATAAGTTGCTCACAATTTTTCTCTCTTTGGGCACAACCCAGCAGAAAGTGAAATGCTTCCTTCCAATATTGATCGGAGAGGTGCACTCTAGGAGTGGTGCATTTCCAGACGAAACAAATTCAGACACGGATGTATTTTGGACTATATCCCATATCTGAACCCTATTAATACAAATAATCCTCAACTTACAACAGCTTATTTAGTGACAATACAAAGTTACAATGGCACTGAAAAAAGTGATTTGCGACCGTTTTTCACGCTGACAACCATTTCAGGATCCCCATGGTCATGTGATCAAAATTCAGACACTTAGCAACTGACTCGTATTTATAACAGTTGCAATATCCCAGGCCTTTTGTGACCTTCTGTGACAAGCAAGGTCAATGGGGAAGCCAGATTCACTTAACAACTATGCCACTAACTTACAACAACTGCAGTGATTCTCTTAACAATTGTGGCAAGAATGTTCGGAAAAAGGGGAAAAACTCAGTTAACAAAAGTCTCGCTTAGCAACAGAAACTTTGGGCTCGACGGTGGTTGTAAGTCAAGGACTACCTACAACAAACTCACTTCCTGAGTGTGGAATTTTATAAAGCCTGAATGGTGAGATTTTAGGAGAGGAGAAGTAAATGAACCTTGGCACGGAGTGTGTAGCCTCTCTCTCACAAACACCAAGACAAGCCAGAAGGATCCTGATTTGAGATCCCCACTTTCTCTCTTGAGTTCCAGGGTGTCTGTAGGGAGCTTAGTTTTCTAGATGAATTGCTAGTAGCTAAATAGGTAGTCATGCAGATAGTCCTAGGTTTACAACCACAATTGAGCCCAAAATTTCTGTTGCTAAGCGAGACAGTCGTTAGACGGCTTTTGCCCCATTTTACGATCTTCCTTGCCACAATTGTTCAGTGAATCACTGCAGTTGTTAAGCTAGTAACAAAGTTGTTAAGTGAATTTGTTTTCCCCGTTGATTTTGCTTGTCTGGAGGTCACAAAAGGTGATCACGTGACCCCAGGACGCGGCAACCGTCGTAAACATGAGCCGGTTGCCAAGCATCCTAATTTCACTCACGTGACCATGGGAATGCTGCAAGGGTCGTAAGTGTGAAAAATGGTTATAAGTCGCTTTTTCCAGTGCCATTATGTAACTTTGAACAGTCACTATGCGAATGGCTGTAAGCCGAGGACTACCATACTGTCACCACATGGTTACTGAATGGGGGGATTTCCCCATCACTGGAATTCAGGCAGAGCAGAGGATTAGCCATCCTTAGTAGAGCAGAGCACTTCAATCCATGGCTCAGTTTTCTCCTTCTGAGAAGAAGGCTGGCAAGGCCCAAGGAGATTCTGGATGAGTAATGCTAGACTGCACACACACACACACACACACACACACACACACAGATAGAGAGAGAGATAGAGAGAGATAGAGAGAGAGAGAGAGAGAGAGAGAGACGAGAGACGAGAGACGAGAGACGAGAGAGACAGAAACAGAGAGAGACAGAGAGAATGAGAGACAGACACATGGAATATCTTTATTTTAATAAATTGCAACTAAGGGCAGATGTGAAAAAGAGTGCTAAACATCAAGTTTACATGGCATACCTTTATACTAGTTAATATTTATTAATCTGAGCAAATCAAGGAAGGGAGAGTTGGGAACAAAATTGAAATGACAATCAAATCTGCAATGCAAGGAAAGAGTACCTCTTAAAGCCAAATGTCTGTTGAATCAGCATTTATGCAATGTATATACCAGTGGTGGTGAACCTATGGCATGGGTGCCAGAGGCGGCAGTCAGAGCCCTCTCTGTGGGCACGCGCGCCGTCGCCCCAGTCCTAGGCCTTCAGCTGGGTTTTATAAAACCTTTTCGCTTTAGGCCTCCGCCGCTATGTGCAAAAAAAAAAAAAGTTCAATCAATCAATCAGTTTTAACTTCTTGCGGGAAAAAAAAGATCTTGCAAAGTTGGAATTGATTGATTGAACTTTTTAGTCCCACCCAGTCTGCCATTACCACCGCAGTCGTGCCTTCCCAGTTGGCCACGCCCACCCGGCACTCGACAATGCATAAATGGGTTTTTTGGTTGCAGTTTGGGCACTCAGTCTCTTAAAGGTTCGCCATCACTGGTATATACGGTAGATTTTGCAGATTGGACATGATTTGTAGATAATATATGCAAACGATGTATAAATAAATTACATAAATTATGCGATGTTTTTGCTTTCACTACATTAAAAGATGTATTGCTTGGGAGCAGAAAATAAAATAAATTTTAGTTTGTGGAGCCAAGACAATCACTATTTGAAATTATATTATAATTAAACTCTTTGAGGTACTTGTCTATAATTTCTTGGGTAAATTTACCTTGCTCCCAGGGCTTTCCGTTAGAAAGCCTTCATCTAATACTGAGCTAGGAATTTTTTTTCCCCCTAAACCGACTTGCTTTTCTTGAGGACTAGCTGCCAGGTTTCCCAGGGATCAAAGAAACTTTTAACTTCTTTTCTTCATGGATCCCCCTGGAACAGAGTACTTGTTTGAGAAAGATAGAATTACCAGTTTATGAGCAAGCCTCTTGGTCTATTAGAAGACATGATTGCAGCACAGTCTGGCCACCAATTGTAATATCTTTACTAATTAAATAAATTAAATGGCATTAATAAATGGTCATTCCTTCTCCCCCCACAACTTTTCTTTCTTCAACACAGCAAATCTGACCCTGGATCCAAACACAGCTCATCCCAAGCTCTACGTATCTCCTGATTTGAAAAGTGTTAGATGGACTGGAACGAATAAGCATATGAACAGCAGTCCTCTGAACTATGATGTTATGGATAGTGTCCTTAGCCACCAGGGCTTCAATTCTGGGAAGTGGTGCTGGGAGGTGGAGGTGGTAGAGGGAGGGGACTGGTGGGCTGTGGGGATTGCTAGAGAGTCTTCAAACAGAAACGGGCCGAGTCTTCTCGATTCTCGTGGGGGCTATTGGGGAATTCAGCGAATTGAGGGACGTTATGAGGCGATCACCCATCCCAGGACAAATTTGACCTTGTGCCATCCCCCAAAAAGGATCCGAGTTTCTCTGGACTATTCAAAAGGCCTCTTAGCATTTTTTGATGGTGACACGGACGCTCAAATCTTCGCTTTTCCAAAAGAAAATTTTAATGGAGAGACGGTTTACCCCTGGTTCTTGATCTATACATGGAATGAACAGCTTTTCCTTCACCCATGATACGGTGGAGCAATGGGCTCATCGCGTTGGAAGAGCTTCACACCATCTGCCTCCAGCTCACCTCCACTTGTTCTGTTTCTCTTTCTGTTTCTCCACCCCATTTCTCTTTCCTTTGCCTTCAATTTCTTTTGTCCTTCTTTTTCCCCCATCTCCATCCAAAATAGCCCCTCCTCCATAATCACCAAGATCTCTTTTAGATCAACAATTTCCTGAACTGCAATAATTAGTTATGCTTCAAAGTAAATAATAATAATAAAAATAACGAAAAAGAACTGGAGGCATAAATCATGTGTCTGTGTTTCTCCTGAATTTGAGGATTGTGCTGAATACTTATTTGTGTGGGGTCCTTGGTGTTCTCTGAACTTGGTTGTTTTCCTGCAGACGTTTTTCTACCCAAACTAGCTAACTTCATCAATGCTAGTGATGCACTGATAACGTTACCTAGTTTGGGCAATGAAATGTCTGCAAGAAAACAACCAAGCTCCGAGAGCATCGAGGATCATTTCAACCCTGAGTTACAAATATTCTCCTTTACTGACCCTTATTTATGGACTGGGGGAGGGGGCATGATGGCTCAGCAGTTAAAGAGGCTGGGCTTGTTTGCTGGAAAGTCAACAGCCCAGGTTAGAGGTCCGAACACCATGCAATGGGGTGAGTTATTTGCCCCAACTCCTGGCCACCTAGCATTCGAAAGCATGCAAATGCGAGTAGATCAATAGGTACCACTTCAATGGGAAGGAAACAGCATTCCGTGTACCTTAATGTACAGCCATGCTGGCCACATGACCACAGAAGCATCTTTGGACAATGCTAACTCTCTCAGCTAAGAAACAGAGACAAAACACCATCTCCTAGGGCAGTGATGGCAAATCTTTTAGCGACCAAGTGCCCAAAAACTGGCCCCGCCCCTGTCCCACCTCCTGCCCTACCCCACTCCACCCCTGCCCCACCTCCACTCTGCCCCATCCTGCCTGCCCACAGGGCCACTCACCGCCTCCAGGGCCTGCCGCAGATCGCCCAGGCAGCCCAGCAGCGCCATGGCAGCCACGCCCTCTGCCTGCGCCCCACAGCATCAATTGTGTGCATTGGGGCATGAGGGCAGAGTCTTGCCTACGCTGCCTGGCTGCCATGTCCTTGGCTGAGCTGCTCCACATGGGCCACGCTCGGGGGAGACTCTCCTCCAGGGGGTTGCTGGTGAGGAGGGGGTCACTGGCGGAGGCAAGGCTGGGGCAATAGCACATGTGCCCACAGAGAGGGCTCTAAGTGCCACCTCTGACACCCGTGCCATAGGTTCCATGCCACCACTGTCCTAGAATCAGACAGGGGAAACCTTTACCTTTTTAAATAGACTAATACACAAGATGTTACCTTGTCTTTGAAAGCTCAGCTGCCACCCCATCACTCAATCATGTATCTTGGGGCCACCAGCTCCCTTTATGCTGCTGGTAGCTCCTGATCTCAAACTTTCAGCTCTGACTCCATTATCTGTAAGTGAAAGAGAGTGTTCTCAGTGAAGGAATATTGGCATAAAGAACTCTGGACCCTTCCTTCTCTTATCTCTATACCCTTTTATATATTACTATTACTGCTACTACTAGCCAGATAACTGGAGTCAAATATTTATGGAAGGATAGAACCCCGGATGTCTTTAGATGGCAATAGCACTTATATACAGCCCCATAGTACTTTACAGCACCTCTGGGCATTTACAGTGTCAGCATGTTGCCCCCAACAATCTGGGTCCTCATTTTACCAACCTCAGAAGGATGGAAGGCTGAGCCATTCTTGAGCCGGTCGAGATCGAACTCCAGGGTGTGGGCAAAGTATGGCTGCAACACTGCATTCTAACCACTGTGCTACCACACCTCACTTAGATGCTCAGCAACAGAGAAGCACAGAGGTTTAAGCACAGAAGTGAGGCCATACTGGGAAACTGAGAGCCAGTTTGGTGTAGTGGTTAAAGCGCTGGCCCCCAAACCAGGAGACTGTTACCATCTATGGTGGATGTGTGATAAAGCAAGAAAATATTGGAGTAGGATTCAAATTCTTAATACAGTGAATATAGAAAGAAAACCAGAGACTTTTCTCTTGGGGCTAATGGACAAAGACCTGGAAAAAAAATAGGGAACTTTGATGTTATGTATGTTGACAGCAGCAAGATTACTCTATGCTCAGAAATGGAAGACTGCATCGATTCCCACAACGGAGAAATGGTTACAGAAGCTGATGGAACTAGCAGAGATGGCCAAACTGACTACACTGTTTAAAGAAAAGAATACGAACACTTTTACTGCCACAAGAATTTGTGCTTGAGGTGGAAAAAAAATGAAATTTTGATCGTGGGTTTTACCAATTAGATAGATTTGATGTTACCGAAATGACTAGTTTATATTATTTTGTAAAAAGTTGAGGTTTGAGGTTGATACTCTACTTTGCTGCACCCAAGGAAGTCGGAAGTCAATGCCTTTTTTTCCCTCTTTTTTTTCTTTCCCACCTCGCTTCTCTATTCCCTTTTTCCCTTCCCCATCTTACCCGCTATTTACTTTTGTATTTTCATTGTATCGTATACTGTTGCAAACTAATAAAACTTTATATAAAAACCAGGAGACTGTGAGTTCTAGTCTCCCCCCTTAGGGACGAAAGCCAGCTGGGTGATCTTCAGCCAGTCACTTTAGAGTTGTCGTGGGGAAAAATAGGAGGAGGAAGCTGCATTATGTATGTTCTCCATCTTGAGTTACTTACAAAGTAATAAAGACTGGATAAAAATCTAATAAAGGAATATACAAATCCTGACACAACTAAAATATGAAAAATATCAAACTTTTTCATTCCACCCCTGAGCAAAAGACCTCAGAAAGGCCAAAGTTTAATCTCTTGTATGATGCCCTTTCAAACAAGAAGTTTACGTTAGGGTTTGCAAAGACCAGAATTAAAATAACCTGCAGACCTAGAGTTGAAAAGTGAAAACACGAGGAGAAGAAGTGGGGGAAGGAGGTGTGAAAAATAAAATCCTACCAGCACTAGAATCTTACTTATCAAGTTTGGCAATTGGACCAGGGTACAAGTAGTCCTTGCCTTACAACCATCTGTTTAGTGACCATTCAAACTTACAATGCCACTGAAAAAAGTGACTTATGACCGTTTTTCACACTTACAACTGTTGCAACATCCCCATAGTCACGTGATCAAAATTCAGACGCTTTATGATTTATGATGGTTGCAGTGTCATGTGATCACCTTTGGCGACCTTCTGACAAGCAAGGTCAATGGGGAAGCCAGATTCACTTAACAACCAGATTACTAACTTATCAACTGCAGTGATTCACTTAACAACTGTGGCAAGAAAGAGGCAAATCTCACTTAACAACAGTCTTGATTAGCAACGGAAATTTTGGGCTCAGTTGTGGCCATAGGTCGAACACTACCTGGATCAATAGGTTTGTTGACCCTTTACTGTCCCATTCCTCTTCTGTTGATGCAAACAAATATAGAGAAAATTGAGAATGCAAAATAGTAATTCTAATTTCAGCCCTGATATGTTATCTCTTCTCACTTTTGGATGAGTGTGGAAGCTCTTCCATCTTTTGTTCAGTGCTTGTCCTTCACCCTGTCTATAATCATCAGCTGCATATATTTTGGACCTGATGGTCCTTTTTATATGCTGTACATTGAGGGCATGTTCTGCAAAGCTAATCAATTGGAGATTAATTAACAAGTGATGGTTATTAAGATGTGGCTTAGCATGATCAATCAAACAGAGCTTTGAGAGGTTCCAAAAGGAACCTTTTGGACAATATGCACACTTCACTCCATTATTGCTAGAAATTCTGTTTATACAGTATATAGTCAAGAATTAAACTTTGGCAGTTATGTGCCTCTTCACGTCAACGTGCCATTAGAGTCAGGGGGGGGGAGAGGTGTTGCTTTCCAATGGGTTAGATGGAGGAATGAAGCTTCCACGATTTTGCTGAAGACTGTGAGAGCCTGAAACATTTCCAAGAAGACTGCAGCAGGTGTGGAGAGGAAGCAGACAGTTCCCAAAACAAAGTGAAATTGTTTACATGGACTACATGAGAGGGTGCAGCTTTGGCTGGAGAAATTATTGTTTAATTCTATGAACTGATAGTGGGAACCTTAGAGTTAGTTTTGCTTCGATATTACCATGCTGTGTATTCAATAAAAAGTACATTTTTTGGAAACGGAATGAATCTGGAGTTTTCTTTGGATTCTCGAGCTGGATGTTGACAGCACCTCAGAGCAAACAAAGAGTACAGTCACCATGTACATCTTGAATTTCCAAGACTACTGGTTATGGCTTGTCAGATTTGCAATTGAAATCTTTGCTGCAGCTGTATTACTGGCCATTTTGTTTTATTCTGTTGCAGTCTTCTTTCTGTTGCTATATCTTCCTCTTATTTACTGTAGCTGGCTATGACTGGGCTATTTATGCTTCTGCTGCATATTTGGATGCAGTCTCTTGACCCGTAACCTGTTTCTCTGGATTATTCACAGGGCCTCATAGCATTCTTTGATGGTGACATGAATGCTGAAATCTTCACTTTCCCAAAAGCAAATTTTGCTGGAGAGAAGATCCACACTTGGTTCTTGATCTATAAGTGGAATGGACAGCTTCTTCTCCATCTGTGAGATGGTGGAGCAAAAGGGTCATCACATGAAGATCTCCAGACTATCTGCCTTCAGTTCTCCTCCGGTCCTTGTGTTTCTCCGTTCAGACCATTGTCACGGATGTCTTTGATTTCCTTTGACCTTCCTTTCCCCATTTGATTTAGAAGATAACTGCATTATCTTCTAAATCAAAGGTCTCCTTCTACCTCACCTTCCTCATGTCTCCTAGTGACACCCCTAGCCAGCTGACCAGAGTCAAATATTTAAGGGATGAAATCCTAGATTTTTTTCAGACATTCAAATATCAAAAAAACAACAGATCCATGGAGATTAAAACACAGGGGAAATGGATATGTCTGGGAAACCCCAGCAAAGGATAATTCTAGGATATAATAATAATAATAATAATAATAATAATAATAATAATAATAATAGTTGGAAGGGACCTTGGAGGCCATCTAGTCCAACCCCCTGCTCAGGCAGGTAACCCTATATCATTTCAGACAAATGGCTGTCCAGTCTCTTCTTAAAAATTTCCAGTGTTGAAGCATTCATCGTTTCTGGAGGCAGGTTGTTCCACTGGTTCATTGTTTTAACTGTCAGGAAGTTTCTCCTTAGTTCTAGATTGCTTCTCTCCTTGACCAGTTTCCATCTGTTGCTTCTTGTCCTGCCTTCAGGCACTTTGGAAAATAGCTTGACTATTTTTCTTTGTGGCAGCCCCTGAGATATTGGAACACTGCTATCATGTCCCCCCTCGTCCTTCTCTTCATTAAACTGGACATACCTAATTCCAGCAACTGTTCCTTATATGTTTTAGCCTCCAGGCCTCTAATCGTCTTTGTTGCTCTTCTCTGTACTCTTTCTAGAGCAGTGGTTCTCAACCTTTCTAATGCCGTGACCCCATAATACAGTTCCCCATGTTGTGGTGACCCCCAAGTGGGTGTGGCCACCAATAAGAGGGAGTAGGACAGCTAGGGAAAAGGGAAAAAAATGGCGGACAGCGTGGTTTGGCGACCCCCGTGAAATGGTCGTTTGACCCCAAATGGGGTCCCGACCCACAGGTTGAGAACCACTGTTCTAGAGTCTCAAAATCTTTTTTACATTGCCATGACCAAAACTGGATGCAGTATTCCAAGTGTGGCCTTACCAAAGCATTGTAAAGTGGTATTACCACTTCACGTGAACTTGATTCTATCCCTCTGTTAATGCAGCCTAGCACTGTATTGGCTTTTTTGGCAGCTGCAGCACACTGCTGGCTCATATTTAAGTGATTGTCCACACTAAGACTCCGAGGTCCCTCTTTTTAAAAGAAAGGGGATATTTTAAGAGAGGAACCCACCAATGTACTTCCATGAGTCAGATTGCTATGGAAGCATCTTAGATGCCTTTTAAGTCTTCACACAATGCTGACTTCACTTTCTGAGGGCCACCTACTGCATGTCCTTTCTTCCACTAATCTCTGCATTTAGGGGCTCAGCAAGGCATTTGCTGGATTGCTCTTTCATTGCTTTTTAATATTACTCCTTGGCCAAAAGAGAAGAAATAATTGAGCCTGCTGGCTAAGCATCTAACATTCAGAACATCAAAGGAAAAGGGGTAAATCATGCCTCATTTTAGCAAGTTGTGCAAAGCCAACCACTTGTTTTTATCAATAAATTATGATTATAAAACTGTGTTTTAGCATGACTCAGCAAGTTGTGCAGTATGAATTGGAAGAAGGAACCTCATGAGCATCTGGAATTCACCCATTATGAATAATGCCAATTGATGAGATCTATAAGCCCCCAAACTACATATTATTTCAGTGGGCAAACAGTAGATGAAACTGAGATCTCCTCTAATAATTGAGAGTCTGGAGCCATAGTCACTTTTTCCTGGTCTTCTTTGGGAAACCCAAAATCACATAAGTTTGGAAATTGTTGTAGGCTTATTGGAAAACAAAGAACTCTGTTTTGTTTTCCTAATTAAGTTGACAAAATGTGTTAGACAATTATTGCCATCATATATGGAATTTCCTGACCCAGTTCTACACATTAATCATCCATTGCTTCAGTGAGGTGTATCTACACCAGGGGTAGGCAACCTTGGCTCTTTTATGACTTGTGGACTTCAAATCCTAGAATACCTGAGCTAGCCACGCTGAGGGGAAAAAGAGAGGTTTCCAAGCTGAGCCTGTTCTTCTCGTAGGTGCCCACACACAGTCAAAGTGTTCCCAGACTCTCATATTCAGAGTTCAATTAAAGCAACTTTAAACTCCTCACTATCTGTAACTACTTCTTTGCCCTTTCAAGTCTCAACTTTCACGGAGCCTCTTGCTGGGAAGACAGATGGCTGCCCAGATACACACTGAAATCTGCTTAGTTGGTTCAGATGCTCTATAGCAATCGTGTTCACTCTTCATCTCTGTTTCCTATACTGAATTTAAGAAAGAAAATAACTCGGACTTGGAGAGATAGAAACCAAATGAGTGAAACCCAAACATTTAGTTCCCAATGAAATATTGACACTGATTTCTAATGGAAGGAGAGCCTATCTGCCTACAAAGAGGCTCTTCAAGCTAGATAGAACTTTTTATTTCAAGGCACCTTCTTCAACAATGCAGTTGTGAGTCATTAGGGGCTCATCCCCATATCCTGGGATGATTCATTCTGTTGCATAGGAGGTGTGCCAGCAACAACTCCTTCCGACTACTTTCCCAATCCAGCCACCTGACTTCTTCCTCAAGACTTGCGGTAAACACCTGCAACTAAGCTTAAAGAAGCAGGTTGGGCAGTAAGGAGCAGAAACAGCTACGTCCATGTCTGAATCAGACTGAAAACACATCTCAGCTAACTCTCCTATGGACAACTTCAAGCATCATTGTGCATCAATTCACTACTGATGATTGTAACTAAGGAATAAGCTGGACTCTTATCCCACTTGGGCAAAAATTATTTACTAACTTGGAGGCTGGTTTTGTGAAACCAGTTACACAATTGTATCAGACTGGCTGTTTGAAGAACCTCAGAGAACTGCCACTTCCTCTTGCGAAGACTATAAAACTTGCTGCCACCAAAATTAATCAAAAGTTCTAGAAGATGGATGAAGATGGATATATGAGAATAGATCCAAGTAAGAGAGACTATCCCTTGCCAGCCATTAAAGGAAAGAAAGGTAATATCTTATAGCTATTTATTTTTCTTTATTTTACTCTACATATTGGCACTAAGTTTTTTTAAAAAGAAAAGTCAAATAAAAAGTGAAAATGAATCTGGTCCCTATTGTTCTTGGAGAAAAAAAACCAGAGACAGTGAATTCTAGTTCTGCCTTAGCCATATAAACCAGCTTGGGGACTTTGGGCTGGTTACCCTCTCTCAGCCCAACTCACTACACAGAGGTGTTGTTGTGGGGAAAATAGGAGGAGTATTAGATATGTTCATCACCTTGAGTTGTTTATAACAATAATAAAGGTAGAATATTAAATAAATGTATAAATTACATCCAGAACCTAGAAACTAAAACAGAGATGTTGGCTGGCTGGCAAGATAAACAACCCAGCTTTTAAAAATGGCAATAAATCTCATTTCGTACAATGGAACAAAACTCTGGAAAGATAAAAATCATTTTTAAACTTTACAGAATAACAGAGTGACTATTGTAGTCTGATCAGGCTACATTTAGAGAACTGAGCAACGAAGCAACTTTAGAGAAATATCTCATTTATATACCAAATGTCTCTTAGTTTAATTAATATATGGTCTTTTTATGCATTTTTAATATTCAGGATTTACAAGTCTCATTTTCAGCTCCGAGGGATTTTCCTGGAGATCAGGTGCTGGGATCTGCCCAGATTTTCTCAATCACAGGAAGCTGGGGTCAACATAACTTCTCCTTTCTGGTTCCTGTTTTCCACAGCCATTCTCTCTGGGCACCAGGAGAGAGGGGCTGTTCAGATGGGCTTGCATCTCATCCACAAGGAACCCAAAGGTGTTTTTTCAAAAGGCAACTGGACTTTGTTTGAAGACATTTCACTTCTCATTCAAGAAGCTTCTTCAGTTCTGAAGAAGCTTCTTGGATGAGAAGCAAAACGTCTTCAAGGAAAACAAAGTCCAGTTGACTTTTGAAAAAGCCCTTTTGGGACAACCATGACCTGGATGGTTGAGAATCTCTCTAGACAGATCCACAAGGAAAGTGGTAGAACTTCACTGCCTCAAGACATATCCATCCCTCACCCACAAAAGAAATACTGGGTTTGAAGATGATCCCAGGATGGTGGAGGTTGTTCTCTAAATAAACCTCTTTTTGATTATTCTTCTCTATTTCCTCCCATACTTCCTTCCAGTAGAGCAGTTTGTAAAGAATTTGGCCTACCCAAGATTGGACTGCCATTGTCTGGATTGGTGGAAGGATTTCTGTCCTTGATAGGGAGTTGGAACAGAGGAAGTCCAAGTCCCCTTTCAATCCTGTGAATAATGCTATAGTAATAATAATAATAATAATAATAATAATAATAATAATAATAATAGTAGTAGTAGTAGTAGTAGTAGTAGTAGTAACAACAACTGCTCTGGGACTTCAGAATTCAAACAGACAAGCACCTGCAACATAACACCCCAGACTTAACAATTGTCGATAAGAAAGACAAAAAAGTCTGGATAGTGGACGTGGCAGTGCCTGGAGATAGCAGAATAGAAGAGAAAGAACTGGAGAAGATAACAAAATAAAAAGACCTACAAATAGAAATAGAAAGACTGTGGCAAAAGCAAGCAAGGGTAGTACCAATAGTCATAGGCTCCTTGGGTGCAATCCCAAAACAACTGGAGCACCACTTGAACACCATTGGCATTGACAAATTCGCTATTAGTCAATTGCAAAAGGCGGCCTTACTAGGAACCGCTTCCACCCTGCGACAATATCTGTAATACCATCAAACATCCACATCTGCCTATCCCAGGTCCTGGGTAAGGACTCGATAGGTAGACAAAATGCCAAATTCAGTCTGAACATCTGGCTGACTGTGCGATGATCCATAATAATAATAAAAGTTGGAAGGGACCTTGGAGGTCATCAAGTCCAACCCCCTGCTCAGGCAGAAAACCCTACACCATTTCAGATAAATAGATATCCAGTCTCTTCTTAAAAACTTCCAGTGTTGGAGCACCCATAACTTCTGGAGGCAGGTTGTTCCACTGGTTAATTGTTCTAACTGTGAGAAAGTTTCTCCTTAGTTCTAGGTTGCTTCTCTCCTTGATTAGTTTCCATCCGTTGCTTCATGTCCTGCTTTCAGATTCTCTCTATATATGGAAGGTCTATATCCTGGATTCTTTTTCTCATATTTATGATGGTCGCAGTGTGATCCCCCTCAGTGACCTGAAAAGGAAAGTCAATGGGGAAGCCAGATTCACTTAACAACCAGGTTAATAACTTAACAACTGCAATGATTCACTTAACAACTGTGGCAACAAAGCTCGTAAAATGGGGCAAAATTCACTTAACAAATGTCTTGCTTAGCAACAGAAATGTTGGGCTCGATTGTGGTCATATATTGAGGACTACCTGTATATTGTCATGGCCTGCAGCCACTTTTATCGGAGGCACCCTTTGTCAGCACTTTGACAAAGGGAGGAGAAACAAAGCCAGGGGAATCCACTAATCACCTTCCATTGCTGGTCTTTCCTTAACACTGTAAGGACAGAACCATCCACCAGTCTCTGAGGCAGAAGTGGACTCGGAAATCTGGACAGCAAATTTTAGGCTAGCAGACTGCTTGAAGGACAGATGCATTGCAGGTTAACATGACCGTCTAGAGTAAAATAGAATAGAATAGAATAATAACGTTATTGTCACTTTGAATGTACACTAATCGGCATACATTAAAATGAAATTTTGTTGCATACAGATCTCAAAAGGTCACCACCTCCAATATACAATACATAAATATGACATAAATAAAATAAATCTGGCAGTGGCCCTAAAAACATCTTTCCTAGGAAAGATCCAAAGAACACATACCTCATCCCCCTAATTTTTGTTTGAGAAGCTGCGTCTGTCTATAATACCTCCTCTCTGTAGAACCTGAACTCAAGACAGTGTGGTGCTAGCCATGAAAAAGAAAGCAAAACGTCCCCTCTCTAAATTACCCTGTGCTCTGTAAAATTATCTTCACAGACTCCAACCTAAGGATCACGAGTTGTTCTTTCTGGTCTTGACAAAGGCTGCTAATCTAATTTTTTTTGTCACGTTCTTACCTCTGGGCTCATTATGTCACATAAAGCCTTTCTAAAATATTAATAAAAAGGCAAGCTATTTAATGCTGAGTTGGGAAGCTTGGCTGCATTTTTTTAAAATAAGCTTCTCTAAATGAATGGTATTAGTGTTTTGTTATTGTTGCCTTATTCACTTCGTGCTTCCAGATGTACACAACAATGTGCACAGCACACCTGTCTGTTTTATTTTCTAACTGAAACATCCTTTTAAGGTAGACTGGGCTGAGGGAGGGAGTATTATCAGCCCACAGTCACTCAAATTTCTGTGGAGGCAGATGGATTTCAACCTATTCAAGAACTTTTATGTTACAATACTTTATATATAACATATTTTGTATTTTTGTATTTAATTTTATTTATATGCCGCCCAATCCCAAAGGACTCAGGGCGGCGTACAGAATTAAAACAATCATAAAACAATAAAATAATACAGTCATACCGCGAGTCCGATCATATCCCGCCCCCCCGGGGACATCAGCCCCAGGCCTGCCGGAACAGGAGGGTTTTAACGGCTTTCTTAAAGGCCGGCTTTGTTGTGCTCAGGTTAGTCTGAGTTGCAGAGGGATTTAAGATGGTGGGCTACCTTGCTATTTTTTGGCTTCGTGTTCATGGTCGTGCCTCATCTTCATGGTGGGTGTCAGTTTGCTTCATGTATGGATTGGAGGGGTTTAAAGTGGTTAATGATGCAGCTGTGGTCTGGCTTCTGGTTTGTGGTCGTGCCTCATCATCGGTGTGGGTTTGGGTTTGCTTTTTGCGTGGACGTGTGGGGGGTGACATCCTGTGTGGCTTTCGTGAGTGTGGGTCTGGTGTCATTCTTTGTGCTAGGGACTCGTTTGTCAATAAGGGCGGGTTTCCAAATGGCTGGTAGGCGGGAGGTATCATCTCATTTCTTCATGCTGTGTGGGCGTTTTTCTATCTCAATGGCTTCTCTGATTATTCTGTTATTAAAATGTTCAGTTTTGGCGATAGTTCTGGTATTTTTAAAGTCAATTTCATTTCCTGTGGCTTTAAGGTGTTGGACCAGGGAAGAAGTTGGTTCCTCTTTTTTGACTGAGTTCTTATGTTCTTCAATGCGTGCACTTATTCTTCTGTTGGTTTGTCTGATGTATGTGGTGGGACAAGCGGTGCATGGGATTTCGTATACTCCTTGATTTTCTAACTCTATTCCGAGATCCTATTACAAACATCCTGCATGCACTCGCACTATCTGACTTCCCTTCACACTCGGTCTTTCTAATCACCCCCCTGCTGTAATTCTTGACAGCATCAATCTCCTTCTTTCTTGTAATAGTTCCTATTCCATTTGGGGAACCAGTCCGTGATTCCTGCTGTCCGCTAAGCAGGGTGGCAGATACTCTCCGGGGTGATCGTTTCAGTGCCCGACCTAATTGGTATCCAATAGTCACCCCGTCTTCTTTCGTCGCTTGAAATGCTGCTGTCCAGGGATGTATGATTGTTCCTGAGGCAGGGAGCTCACAAGCGCTCTCCTCCCATGCAACCGCAGGGGGTGTGGCTTTCCTTGAATGCAGTGAATAGGGAGGTGGGTTGAACCCGCGTGTCGTCATCCTTCTGTCTTGTGGCAATTCCGCTGCTCTATACGGGTGCGAGTGCATTCCAGATGGGTGGGTGAGGAAGTCCACAGTAACGGGGGCTTCCATACAAGTGGGGGGAGTGTTCAAGCTGACGGGGGTGAGGTGTCTAAGGTTTTTGGGTTGCCTCATACACGGAAAGTGCGTATCCATCCTTAAGGTCGGGAGGGTCTCTGATCTTTGGCTGTTATTCTCACGAGTATCAGTTCTCTGAGGTGAGGGGATGGGACTACAATTATTGGGTCGTCCATTCCATAGTGATCGAGTATGAACTTCCCATGCTCTTAAAGCTAAATGCGCAGGGCGTAGGTCAATGTGGCGATTGATGGATCCTTCACACGAAAGCCAGGCCTCTTTTAATAGCCTGCCACTTTTCGTGATGTCATTAGCTATCACCTGCACCCCATCAAAATCAAAGCTATGACCAGACTCTATCATGTGTGTAAGCATTTGGGAGTACTGCTCCCCTCTTCTTATGGCCAGCTTGTGCTCTTGGATCCTGGTCTTAACCCTATATTCGTAGATTTTAACGGGTATAGGTATGCAGGTCTTGGTGTATTCGGGTCTTTTCCCGTGTAAGATTGAGAGTATCTTGGCGATGTTTCGACAAGGTCCCAGTTGTCATCTTCAGGCTGGGGTCTTCGGCTTCGTGCTTGTGTGAGCAAAGTGTGATCGGAGCTGCCATCTCTCTATATACAGTATATTGGTGTGTGTGTGTGGAGTGCTGGCTTAGTTGCTGTAGGTGGATTGGTTGGCTGTGTAGGAGCTATTGTTTGTGGATTGTTTGGCTATTTCGTAACATCCTGAGTAGTTGAGTTGCTGGCTGTGTGCCCATTAGTCTTTTCTGTAGTAACAACCTGGGTAATGGGTTGTGTGATAACATCCTGAGATCTAGTGTAGTGATATCCTGAGTTCTGTGTTGCACCATCCTGGGTGGTTGGCTGTGTTGTAACATCCTGAGCTTTGGCATTGTAGCCTCCTGAGTTCTGTGATGTGATGTCTAGGGCTGAAGGCTGTGAAGTAACATACCGGGCTTTGGTTTGGCTCCGAGTTTGTGATCTAGCTCTGTGTTCATGGCGTGTGTCTGTTTGCTTCAAGACCTGTATAGATAGATAGATAGATAGATAGATAGATAGATAGATAGATAGATAGATATACCAGTGAAATACTAACCTCACAATGGCACAAAGACCCATGGAAACATACATGCTCAGCATTACAAGACAAGATAGAAAGACCTGCATGTGGATTAGAGAACAAACAAAAGTATACAATAATATTGAATTGAAAGGGAAATGGGCTGGTCACACAGCAAGGATAATGGATGGCAGGTGGATCAAGACAGTCATAGAAGGGATCCCACTTGATAAAAAGTGTCCACGAAAGAGACCTAAAACAAAATGGATCAACGACGGGGGCTTCTGGTTCCGGTTCGTGGCAGTGCGGTCAAGTGAAGGGAGTTGTCCCTTTGCCGACTGAGTTTCCCCTGCCAGTAAACCCCTGAGAGGGTTGAAAAGTTGCTCTGGAGGAGCGACTACCATTGAGGAGGCTTCTCGGATAGTTACAGAGGAGCGGCGGTGTCCTCTGTGCACTGAGTATCTCCTTTGGGCCGACAGGTTAAAGATCAGCCAGTAAAATGGCCGCTCATTTAGCTGCGCCAACCGCAAACCACAAGATCAGCTAAGCAAATGGACCCACCGTGGAAGACTCGGTGAGACTTTCCTTTTACCTCTATTTTCTTTATGCCTGTGAAAAATTTTTTTTCTTGGAATCATTCCCTTTTTTGATGAAGCGGCTTTTTAAATGGGGGAAGAGAAGCTCAAAGGATTAAAGCTATTTTTGTTTTAATGGTTGGTTTTATTTTTGGATATTGGGAGCCTCAAGAAAGTTTTTTATAATATTTGGAGAATATTGCTTTCTTTTACCTTTATGGTGTCTGGAAGGATTGAAGATCTGACTAATCTTGACTATTTTCCGGGGGACATTTTCTGATGAAAGTATTCATTGTACCTGCCATTCTTTTGTCGCCGGGAAGGCTTTCATTTTGTATAAAGGAAAAAGACGAGGAAGCTGGGAGGAGATGGATATTGTGATCATTTTTCAAATATAGCCTCCCTCAAAAGGGTAAGGATTTTAAATATGATAATAATGGAGGAAACCAGTTCAGACCTTACTTATAAGTATATTTTGGACAAAATCTTGGAAAATATGGAGAAGATAATTGCTTGCTTAAGGGAGATCTCTTTGTATCGACAAGGCAAAGCACAAGGATTAAGTGAAACATCAGTTTATGCTCAAGAGACTTGTTCTCCGCCTACCGAGTTGGAAGATGTAAACTCACAGTTGGATTATCCATCCATATGGGAAAAAAGACTTGATACCAATGGACAAATGACTTACGATAAGGAAATGGAGGATCTTACTTCAGAAGGACAAGCCAGCCTGCAGACGCCATTTGACTTTGATAGAGAAAAAAAATCATGGGAAGTAGAGCAAAATCTGACCAAAGAGGATGATATAAAAGAAAGGATTTTAATTGAAATTTATGTAATGTTAAAAGAAAGGGGAAATGATGTTCTGCTACGAGTTACTCAGATTAGCTATAACCTTTATACTAACTTAATAAAATGCACAATGGGAGTTTCTTTTTTGGTGTGTATAATGTGGCAGGTGGAGGCCCAATTATGGAAACCTATTTGGAACAGAAAGAAATCCAGAATAAGATATAAATACTAAATTTGATTATAGTAATGTGGTAAAGGTTTCACAGTGACCCGGATTGATTTGGATTTGGACTTTGTTAAAAGGGCTTTATATGTTTTTAATATTAGAGATGGTATAATGAGAAAGGGACTGAAATATGGGAAAAGATGGAATTAATCATTGGAGATTTGGAGAAGTATTGAAAAAAAATAGAATATTGGTGAGAAAGAGAAGAATTTAGTTTTGAAGTTAATAATGTTTAAATAAGAAAATACTTGGGGCACCTGAACAGTAAATGAATATGTTAGTTTAAGATTAAATATTTGTAAAATTAAGAAAGCATAAAACAGGATCTTTGGGATAGATAATGAGTTTTCGTAAATTTTTATTGATTTATGAAATTTATATAGAGTGATATATTCAATGAAAACTTGTCTTAGAAATGTTTTAATGAGCCTATAATAATATAAATAGATAGAGAATGTTAGTTTATTTTTAATTATTTAACTGGATGTAGCGATATATTAGTGAATGAATTGGTTTTAGAAATATATTAATTTGATTATAATATCTTAAATAAATGGAGAGTTCTTTAAGTTTAAGTCTAAATGTGTGAAAAAGTATGAAAACTTTTACTGATTAATGGAGTTGATGGTTAGACATAGTAATGAATGAATTTATTTGTAAATGTATTAATTTGATTATAATATTGTATATACCAGCGGTTCTCAACCTATGGGTCGCGACCCCATTTGGGGTCGATCGCCCATTTTTCGGGGGTTGCCAAAGGAGGCGATCCGCCATTTTTCACGGCGCCGTGCACACGCGCCATGCATGGGGGTGGCACCCTGCACACGCGCTGCGCATGGGGGGGCGCCGTGCGTGCGCGCCGCGCATGGGGGTCGCGCATGCACATTGCGCATGGGGGCGGCGCCATGCATGCGCGCCCGCATGGGGGGGCATGCGCGCGACCCCGCGCATGCGCAGAGTGTTTGTGTGACGGGGGTCGCCATCACACAAACGTTGAGAAGCACTGGTATATACAGTAGATAGAGAGGGAAAGTTTTAAGAAATATTGTGTATATATTTATCATGTTTCTGTTTTTTTTAAAAAAAATTGATCACCATGTTTCCACGTGGGTTCTTAAGCCGTGTTGATATAATATGGAAAACTAATAAAAATTGGGGAAAAAAAGATGGATCAACGACATCAGCAAGTATTGCGGGCCCAATTGGCAAAAGAAAGCCCAGGATTGTATTGGTTGGAAACATGCGGAAGAGGCCTTCATCCTGCAGTGGATGGAACAACAGCTAAAATGATGATGATGATGATGAAATGTCAAAAGGATCTGTGTTCAAACACCAATGTCTAGGCCAGGAGTGTCAAACTGCTGGCCCACGGGCCTGACCTATCATCCTGAAGCCACGTCCACTCCATTCCCGGCAATGGCAAAATCATCCCGATACGAGTTTGACATGTCTGATCTAGGCCATCTAATCACTGAAGCACAGCATCGTTTATATTTAAAAAATCAGACACTGGACCGGTATGTGCTCTGAGCTTACAGCTGGTCACAGTGTGACTTACAGTTTGATGTGGGATCCCATAGTCACACTTAGAGGAGGGTACTATATCCCGTTTATACAGAGAGTGCCAGCAGATGTCATGTGAGGGACGAACCCTATTCTGGGTTGTCCATAGCTGAGGTGGTTGTTCAAAGCCTGGCACCTTTTTTTGTGGGGTCATTCATATGTCTTCCTATGTCTGGGCATTCAGCCACCCATTTAGCTTTCCATTGGGAATTGATGTTAAAGTTACAATACTTCACGTAAATTAAGGAACGGGTGGTGAACTTCACAATTCCCTTCCAATCCCACAGATCCTTCAGTGAATCCTCTCGTATGGAAAGTTCTGCTTGGCATTTCAACTGTGGGAAACGTGGCCCTGGCTATGCTTTTGATTGCTCTCACTCTTCCAGGTAAGGAATGTTCTGCTTTCTTCCTTGAACCTGTCATCATTCTCTCCAGTCACCCTATACAGGTAGTCCTCGACTTATGACCACAACTGAGCCCAACATTTCTGTTGTTTAGTGAGATATTTGTTAATAGAATAGAATAGAATAGAATATAGAATAGTATAGAATAGAATATAGAATAGAATATAGAAGAATAGAATACAATATAGAATAGAATACAATATAGAATAGAATATAGAATATAGAATAGAATATAGAATAGAATAGAATATAGAATAGAATAGAATGTAGAATAGAATAGAATAGAATAGAATAGAATAGAATAGAATAGAATAGAAAATAGAATAGAATAGAACAGAACAGAACAGAAAAGAATAGAATAGAATAGGGAATAGAATATAGAATAGAATAGAATATAGAATAGAATAGAATAGAATAGAATAGAATAGAATAGAATAGAATAGAATAGAATAGAATAGAATATAGAATAGAATATAGTATAGAATAGAATATAGAATAGAATAGAATAGAATATAGAATAGTATTTGTTGTTGTTGTTGTTGTTAATTGCGAAGTCGTGTCCGACCCATCGCGACCCCATGGACAACATTCCTCCAGGTCTTCCTGTCCTCTACCATCTTTTGGAGTCCATTTAAGTTCACACTTACTGCTTCAGTGACTCCATCCAGCCATCTCATTCTCTGTCGTCCCCTTCTTCTATTGCCCTCAATCTTTCCCAGCATTAGGCCCTTCTCCAGTGAGTCCTTCCTTCTCATTAGGTGGCCAAAGTATTTGAGTTTCAACTTCAGGATCTGGCCTTCTAAAGAGCAGTCAGGGTTGATCTCTTCTAGGACTGACCGGTTTGAACGCCTTGCAGTCCAAGGGACTCGCAGGAGTCTTCTCCAGCACCATAGTTCAAAGGCCTCAATTCTTTGGCGCTCAGCCTTTCTTATGGTCCAACTTTCACAGCCATACATTGCAACTGGGAAAACCATGGCCTGGACTATACGCACTTTTGTTGGCAGGGTGATGTCTCTGCTTTTTAGTATGCTGTCTAGATTTGCCATAGCTTTCCTCCCCAGGAGCAAGCGTCTTTTAATTTCTTGGCTGCAGTCCCCATCTGAGGTGATCTTGGAGCCCAGGAAAATAAAATCTGTCATTACCTCCATTTCTTCCCCATCTATTTGCCAGGAATTGAGACGGCCGGATGCCATGATTTTGGTTTTCTTAATGTTGAGTTTCAAGCCTACTTTTGCACTCTTCTCCTTCACCCGCATCAAGAGGCTCTTTAGTTCCTCTTCACTTTCTGTCATTAGAGTGGTATCATCCGCATATCTTAGGTTGTTGATATTTCTCCCAGCAATCTTAATTCCAACTTTTGATTCATCTAGCCCTGCCTTTCTCATGATGTGCTCTGCATATAAGTTAAATAGGCAGGGCGACAGTATACAGCCTTGCCGGACTCCTTTTCCAATTTTGAACCAATCAGTGGTTCCGTGTTCAGTTTTCACTGTTGCTTCTTGACCCGCATATAAGTTTCTCAAGAGACAAATGAGATGGTCTGGTACTCCCATCTCTTTAAGAACTTGCCACAATTTGTTGTGATCTACACAATCAAAGGCTTTTGCATAGTCAATGAAGCAGAAGTAGATGTTTTTCTGGAACTCCCTAGCTTTCTCCATGATCCAGCGTATGTTGGCAATTTGATCTCTAGTTCCTCTGCCTCTTCGAAATCCTGCCTGTACTTCTGGTAGTTCTCGATCCACATACTGCTGGAGTCTAGCTTGTAGGATTTTAAGCATAACTTTACTAGCATGTGAAATGAGTGCAATGGTGCGATAGTTTGAACATTCTTTGGCATTGCCTTTCTTTGGAATTGGAATATAAACTGACCTTTTCCAATCCTGTGGCCACTGTTGAGTTTTCCAAATTTGCTGGCAAATTGAGTGTAGCACTTTTACTGCATCGTCTTTTAAGATTTTGAATAGCTCAGCTGGAATACTGTCACCTCCACTAGCTTTGTTGTTGCTCAGATTTTCTAAGGCCCATTTCACTTCACATTCTAGGATGTCTGGTTCGAGGTCAGTGACCATCTCATTGTGGTTATCTGGGATGTTAAGCTCATTCTTGTATAGTTCTTCTGTGTAGTTTTGCCATCTCTTCTTAATCTCTTCTGCCTCTGTTAGGTCCTGCCATTTTGGTCCTTTATCATGCCCATCTTTGCATGAAACGTTCCCTTCATATCTCCAATTTTCTTGAAGAGATCTCTGGTCCTCCCTATTCTGTTGTTTTCTTCTATTTCTTTGCACTGTTCATTTAAGAAGGCATTCTTATCTCTTCTAGCTACTCTCTGGAATTCTGCATTCAATTGGGTGTATCTTTCTCTTTCTCCTTTGCCTTTCGCTTCCCTTCTTTCCTCAGCTATTTGCAAAGCTTCCTCAGACAGCCATTTTGCTTTCTTGCATTTCTTTTTCTTTGGGATGGTTTTAGTTGCTACCTCTTGTACAATGTTGCGAACTTCCATCCATAGTTCTTCAGGCACTCTGTCTATCAGATCTAATTCCTTAAATCTATTTGTCACCTCTACTGTATATTCATCAGGAATATGATTTACTTCATACCTGAGTGGCCTAGTGCTTTTCCCTACTTTTTTCAATTTAAGCCTAAATTTTGCAACGAGAAGCTCATGATCTGAGCCACAGTCAGCTCCTGGTCTTGTTTTTACTGACTGTATACAGCTTCTCCATCTTTGGCTGCAGAGCACATAGTCAATCTGATTTCTATGTTGACCGTCTGGTGATGTCCATGTGTAGAGCCGTCTCTTGTGTTGTTGGAAAAGAGTGTTTGTTATGACCATCGTATTCTCTTGACAAAATTCTATTAGCCTGTGCCCTGCTTCATTTTGTACTCCAAGGCCAAACTTGCCTGTTATTCCGGTTATCTTTTGGCTTCCTACCTTAGCATTCCAATCCCCCATGATGATAAGGACATCATTTTTTGGTGTTAATTCTATAAGGTGCTGTAGGGCTTCATAAAACTGGTCAATTTCATCCTCTTCAGCACCAGTGGTTGGGGCATAGATTTGGACTATTGTGATATTGAATGGTTTGCCTTGGATTCGAATTGAGATCATTCTGTCATTTTGGGGATTGTACCCCAGTATTGCTTTTCCTATTCTTTTATTGACTATGAAGGCTACTCCATTTCTTCTGAGGGATTCTTGCCCACAGTAGTATACCTGATGGTCATCTGAGTTAAATTCACCCATTCCTGTCCATTTTAGTTCGCTGATTCCTAAGATGTCGATGTTCAGTCTTGTCATCTCTTTTTTGACTACGTCTAGCTTGCCTTGATTCATGGATCTTACATTCCAGGTTCCTATGGAGAAAAAATCTTTACAGCATCGGACTTTCCTTTCACCACCAGATATATCCACAGCTGAGCGTCCTTTCGGCTTTGGCCCAGTCGCTTCATTCTTTCTGGTGCTACTAGTACTAGCCTTCTGCTCTTCCCCAGTAGCATATTGGACACCTTCCGACCTGAGGGGCTCATCTTCCAGCGTCATATCTTTTTGCCTTTTAGTACTGTCCATGGGGTTTTCATGGCAAAGATACTGGAGTGGTTTGCCATTTCCTTCTCCAGTGGATCACATTTTGTCGGAACTCTCTGCTATAACCTGTCCGTCTTGGGTGGCCCTGCACGGCATAGCTTATAGCTTCATTAAGTTACGCAAGCCCCTTCGCCACGACAAGGCAGTAATCCATAAAGGGGATAGAATAGTATAGTATAGAATAGAATATAGAATAGAATAGAATAGAATAGAATAGAATAGAATAGAATAGAATAGAATAGAATAGAATAGAATAGAATAGAATAGAATAGAATAGAATATAGAATAGAATAGAATAATAACTTTATTGTCACTTTGAATGTACATTAATCAGCATACATTAAAATGAGATTTTGTTGCATTCAGCTCTCAAAGGGTCACCACCTTTGATATACACTGCATAAATATGACAAAAATAAATAAATACAGAATTATGCATATTACCCACATATGTTATATGACACAGAGAAACAACAGTTAAGTTGGGACCACTACAAAGATTGTAACCATGAGAAATGGTCATAAGTCACTTTTTCCAGTGTTGTGGTCACTTTGAATGGTCACTAAATAAATTGTTGTAAGTCGAGAACTACCTGTAGTGGTTAGAATGCAGTATTGCAAGCTACTTCTGCTGACTGCTAGCTGCTAGCAGTTCGGCAGTTCGATTCTCACCGTCTCAAAGTTGACTCAGCCTTCCATCCTTCCGAGGTCGGTAAAATGAGGACCCAGATTGTTGGGGGGCAATAGGCTGAGTTGGTAAACCACTTAGAGAGGCTGTAAAGCACCGTGAAGCGGTATATAAGTCTATGCGCTTTTGCTATATAAGTGCAACTCATCTGCTAAACAGAGTGATCTAGACAAATAATGGTGATTTAGGATTATTTCTACTACTCAGTAATATTTTGCTGTCAGTACAGGTAGTCCTTGACTTATGACTAGTTGCTTGGTGATCATTCACAGTTATGATAGACCTTCCCAGAACTATTTATGAACCAGTTTTGAAATTCAGATTTTGGGCGCTTAGCAACTGGCCCAACTTTATGGATTTGTGCAGCATCCTGTGGTCAGGTGATCCCCATTTAAGAAGTTATTGGTCGGCAACTGGCATATACTTCCAGTTTATGCAGCAAAAAATGTCCCTTGGGTACAATGGGTTTGCTTCATGGTCTCAGCGCACACACAAAAAATTCCTGAAAACAGGAGCAGTCGCATGGTGACCCGCTTAATGACTTCCATGATCTAACCTCAAAATTCAGGCTCAGTTGTGGTCACAGGTTGAGGACAACCTGTATGTACCCCACTGTGTATTCCAAGACATACTGGATGGTCAGAAAATATGCGGAGCGTCATAACATTTTAGGTTTTTCCCATCCCTTTTGCTGAAATGCCAACTGCACAGATCTGAACAGAGTCTCAATATGCAATCCATCAGTCCGAGTGAAGAATACTGTATATATTATGCTGCATACATCACATGTAATGTGTGAACTTGCAGAGGGTAAGGGAGATAGCAATAGCACTTAGACCAGGGGTAGGCAACCTTGGCTCTTTTATGACTCGTGGACTTCAACTCCCAGAATTCCTGAGCCAGCTGTGTCCACGAGTCATAAAAGAGCCAAGGTTGCTTTCCCCTGACTTATATACCGCTTCACAGTGCTTTGCAGCCCTCTCTAAGCGTTTTATAGAGTAGAGTATTGGCCCCCAACAATCTGAGTCCTCATTTTACCAACCTTGGAAAGATGGGAGGCTGAGTCAACCCTGAGCCTGTCAGGATCAAACCCTAGGCAGTCAGCAGAATTCGTTTGCAATACTCCGTGCTAACTACTGCACCACCATGGTTCCTTCAAGATGCGCTTGAAAAAAGATAGGACAGATCTGTTTCCAAATTGACAAGGGGAAAAACATGGCACCTTGGGAAGCACACCAACATGTCTTTGCTAGGGCTGGTACCTTAGCAAGCCAAACTACTTCTCTGTAATAGTGTGATTTCCTGCTACTGTAACAACACCATACAATGACGATGACGATAACAACAACAACAATAACAAGAATTATTATTATTATTATTATTATTATTAGTATTAGTATTAAAACAGACAAGCACCTGCAATATAGCACCCCAGACTTAACAATTGTCAATAAGAAAGACAAAAAAGTCTGGATAGTGGACATGGCAGTGCCTGGAGACAGCAAAATAGATGAGAAAAACTGGAGAAGATAACAAAATACAAAGACCTACAAATAGAAATAGAAAGACTGTGACAAAGGCAAGCAAGGGTAGTACCAATAGTAATAGGCGCCTTGGGTGCAATCCCAAAACAACTGGAGTACCACTTGAACACCATTGGCATTGACAAATTCGTCATTAGTCAATTGCAAAAGGCAGCCTTACTAGGAACTGCTTCCATCCTGCAACAATATCTGTAATACCACCAAACATCCACATCTGCCTATCCCAGGTCCTTGGTAAGGACTTGATAGATAGACAAAAATGCCAAATGCAATCTGAACATCTGGCTGACTGTGCAATGATTAATAATAATAATAATAATAATAATAATAATAATAATAATAATAATAATTGCAATACCAGTTGATGCATGAATTGAAGAGAAACAGCTAGAAAAAAATAACAAAAAATTGTGATTTCCAAATTGAAGTTGAGTGGCTGTGGAAGAAGAAATCAATGTGTCAATGCTGCTAACATCGGATGTTTTTGCTTTGACAACAGTTGGAGATACAACCATTTCCTTCTTATGTTTTACTTTTAGAATTAGAGCTAGAGTTAGATGATGCTGGGGGGAGGAATGTGCATGAGAGTTCAGCTAGACATAACAATACTGGACCTAGTGTGTGACCCAAGGTTATTGAAATAAGAGATGATAAGAATTGGGGGGCTGGAAGTCTGGAAGGAAAGCCTGCATTTCAAACTAATTGGAGAATGTGATTTATGACTGTTAATTGGAGGATGGAATTGTGTTGTGATACTATATGCTGAGGAGAGGGGAATCCAGTTTTTCGCTTTGACTGTGTTAGTGCCGATGCTATGCTTCTCAAATAAAGATTCTTTAAGGTAAACAATGCCTCAAAGTTCTTTGAAGAGTTTTATCTGTCGCAACCATGACACATGGTTGTACCAATAGTTATAGCAGCCCTTGGAGCAATACCCAAAGGGCTGCCTAGATACATGAAAATTTTGAACTTATTAGATCTGAATATCCTGACTTTGCAAAAAACCACCCTACTCGGTACTGCCTATATACTCAGATATTACCTTAGATTCTTGTTTAGGACTTCAACTGTTAAGTATTTACCAGTCCCAGACTGTGAATCAAGTTGAAGATTAATCATAACAACAACAACAGCAACAACAATATCAGATGCTACCTTAAGAGCTCTTGGGTCCTTGATTAGGACTCGAGCTGTTAAGTATTTACCAGTCCCAAATTGTGAATAGAATTGAAGATTAACCATAATAATAACAAGGCTACACAAATGTAGTTTGTGATATTTTACTCTTATTCATACAGGTTTTCTTTTTAAAATAACTCCTTAAACCATCCCCCAACCTTCAAAATTCCAATGTTTTCTATTAGTTGAGACATTTTTTTTGTGAACCAGGATGAAGTATCACAAAGGTATTTTATTTTGTGAATCAGAATAAATTACCTCGGATGGTGTCCTCGCTCTAAAGTTGATTTATTTCTTAAGCTTCAGAGAAATTCAGTGAACCGAATCTTCTATCAAAGCCAATCCCCAGTTGCCTGATGAATTGTATTCCTTGTCGATCGGCTAAGGACAGCGATACAGGTAAGCTCTGCTTTTTCCAGCATGAAAATGGGACTCCTTTCGTCTCCGCTTTCAAAGTTTTGCCACATAAAAGCTCATATACTGGTAGATGTACTTCTTGACTTATAACTATAATTAGGACCAGAATTTCCCCTGCTAAGCAAGGCCGTTGTTAAGTGAGCCATGCCTCATTTTATGACCTTTTTGTTAAGTTGTTAAGTGAATTGTATGCATTAAGCAAATCCAGTTTCCCTCATTGACTTTCCTGAAGGTGGCTGTAAAGGTCACAAAAGGGGATCACGTGATTCTGGGACATTGCAACGGTCATAAATACGTGCTCGTTACCAAGCAGCTGGATTTTGATCATGTGACCATGGGGATACCACAACAGTTATCAGTGAAGGATTCGTCATAAATCACTTTTTTCATTGTTGTTGTAACTTGGAACGGTAACTAAACAAATGGTTGTAAAACAAGGACCACCTGTAAATGATTTCAAGAAATACATTTTGTTTCATTGAAAGGGCCAGAATATTTTTTTAATGGAATCCTGTTATGGCCCAATTAGGTTCCCTATCAAAATGGGCAGAGAATTGCAGAATAAAGCAAGGAACACCTGGTGTTCAGATCTTGCTGAAGACCTATGGCTCAGCTTGGAAACCTCTCCCTTTCCCTTCAGCATGGCTGGCTCAGGAATTCTGGGAGTTGAAGTCCACGAGTCATAAAAGAGCCAAGGTTGCCTACCCCTGGACTATATTAACCGGTCATTTCTCTGTGTAGTAAGTGCACTCTGCTCTTGCAGTGAGCCTTGCTAGACAAATGGGCATCCAATGGCCACATAAATTAAGCCCAAAGAAAACAGGGATCACCCATCTGGGGCTGGGACTGTATCCTCCTGCCTGGTTTTTCTGCCTGAAGTAAGAAGATAAGTTGCTCACAATTTTTCTCTCTTTGGGCACAACCCAGCAGAAAGTGAAATGCTTCCTTCCAATATTGATCAGAGAGGTGCTCTCTAGGAGTGGTGCATTTCCAGACGAAACAAATTCAGACACGGATGTATTTTGGACTATATCCCATATCTCAATCCTATTAATACAAATAATCCTCAACTTACAACAGTTCATTTAGTGACAGTACAAAGTTACAATGGCACTGAAAAAAGTGATTTGCGACCGTTTTTCACGCTGACAACCATTTCAGCATCCCCATGGTCACATGTAGCCTCTCTCTCACAAACACCAAGACAAGCCAGAAGGATCCTGATTTGAGATCCCCACTTTCTCTCTTGAGTTCCAGGGTGTCTGTAGGGAGCTTAGTTTTTCTAGATGAATTGCTAGTAGCTAAATAGGTAGTCATGCAGATAGTCCTAGGTTTACGACCACAATTGAGCCCAAAATTTCTGTTGCTAAGCGAGACAGTCGTTAGACGGCTTTTGCCCCGTTTTACAACCTTCCTTGCCACAATTGTTTAGTGAATCACTGCGGTTGTTAAGCTAGTAACACAGTTATTAAGTGAATTTGTTTTCCCCGTTGACTTTGCTTGTCAGGAGGTCACAAAAGGTGATCACATGACTCCGAGACGTGGCAAATATCGTAAACATGAGCCAGTTGCCAAGCATCCTAATTTTGCTCACGTGACCATAGGGATGCTGCAAGGGTCGTAAGTATGAAAAACGGTTATAAGTTGCTTTTTCCAGTGCCATTATGTAACTTTGAACGGTCACTGTGCAAATGGCTGTAAGCCGAGGAATACCGTACTGTCACCACATGGTTACTGAATGGGGGGATTTCCCCATCACTGGAATTCAGGCAGAGCAGAGGATCAGCCATCCTTAGTAGAACAGAGACTTCAATCCATGGCTCAGTTTTCTCCTTCCGAGAAGAAGGCTGGCAAGGCCCAAGGAGATTCTGGATGAGTAATGCTAGACTGCACACACACACACACACACACACACACACACATACACACACACACAGAAAGAGAGAGACGAGAGAGACAGAAACAGAGAGAGACAGAGAGAATGAGAGACAGACACATGGAATATCTTTATTTTAATAAATTACAACTAAGGGCAGATGTGAAAAAGAGTGCTAAACATCAAGTTTACATGGCATACCTTTATACTAGTTAATATTTATTAATCTGAGCAAATCAAGGAAGGGAGAGTTGGGAACAAAATTGAAATGGCAATCAAATCTGCAATGCAAGGAAAGAGTACCTCTTAAAGCCAAATGTCTGTTGAATCAGCATTTATGCAATGTATATACGGTACATTTTGCAGAATGGACATGATTTGTAGATAATATATGCAAACGATGTATACATTAATTACATAAATTATGTGATGTTTTTGCTTTCACTGCATTAAAAGATGTATTGCTTGGGAGCAGAAAATAAAATAAATTTTAGTTTGTGGAGCCAAGACAATCACTATTTGAAATTATATTATAATTAAACTCTTTGAGGTACTTGTCTATAATTTCTTGGGTAAATTTACCTTGCTCCCAGGGCTTTCCGTTAGAAAGCCTTCATCTAATAATGAGCTAGGAATTTTTTTTCCCCCTAAACCGACTTGCTTTTCTTGAGGACTAGCTGCCAGGTTTCCCAGGGATCAAAGAAACTTTTAACTTCTTTTCTTCATGGATCCCCCTGGAACAGAGTACTTGTTTGAGAAAGATAGAATTACCAGTTTATGAGCAAGCCTCTTGGTCTATTAGAAGACATGATTGCAGCACAGTCTGGCCACCAATTGTAATATCTTTACTAATTAAATAAATTAAATGGCATTAATAAATGGTCATTCCTTCTCCCCCCACAACTTTTCTTTCTTCAACACAGCAAATCTGACCCTGGATCCAAACACAGCTCATCCCAAGCTCTACGTATCTCCTGATTTGAAAAGTGTTAGATGGACTGGAACGAATAAGCATATGAACAGCAGTCCTCTGAACTATGATGTTATGGATAGTGTCCTTAGCCACCAGGGCTTCAATTCTGGGAAGTGGTGCTGGGAGGTGGAGGTGGTAGAGGGAGGGGACTGGTGGGCTGTGGGGATTGCTAGAGAGTCTTCAAACAGAAACGGGCCGATTCTTCTCGATTCTCGTGGGGGCTATTGGGGAATTCAGCGAATTGAGGGACGTTATGAGGCGATCACCCATCCCAGGACAAATTTGACCTTGTGCCATCCCCCAAAAAGGATCCGAGTTTCTCTGGACTATTCAAAAGGCCTCTTAGCATTTTTTGATGGTGACACGGACGCTCAAATCTTCGCTTTTCCAAAAGAAAATTTTAATGGAGAGACGGTTTACCCCTGGTTCTTGATCTATACATGGAATGAACAGCTTTTCCTTCACCCATGATACGGTGGAGCAATGGGCTCATCGCGTTGGAAGAGCTTCACACCATCTGCCTCCAGCTCACCTCCACTTGTTCTGTTTCTCTTTCTGTTTCTCCACCCCATTTCTCTTTCCTTTGCCTTCAATTTCTTTTGTCCTTCTTTTTCCCCCATCTCCATCCAAAATAGCCCCTCCTCCATAATCACCAAGATCTCTTTTAGATCAACAATTTCCTGAACTGCAATAATTAGTTATGCTTCAAAGTAAATAATAATAATAAAAATAACGAAAAAGAACTGGAGGCATAAATCATGTGTCTGTGTTTCTCCTGAATTTGAGGATTGTGCTGAATACTTATTTGTGTGGGGTCCTTGGTGTTCTCTGAACTTGGTTGTTTTCCTGCAGACGTTTTTCTACCCAAACTAGCTAACTTCATCAATGCTAGTGATGCACTGATAACGTTACCTAGTTTGGGCAATGAAATGTCTGCAAGAAAACAACCAAGCTCCGAGAGCATCGAGGATCATTTCAACCCTGAGTTACAAATATTCTCCTTTACTGACCCTTATTTATGGACTGGGGGAGGGGGCATGATGGCTCAGCAGTTAAAGAGGCTGGGCTTGTTTGCTGGAAAGTCAACAGCCCAGGTTAGAGGTCCGAACACCATGCAATGGGGTGAGTTATTTGCCCCAACTCCTGGCCACCTAGCATTCGAAAGCATGCAAATGCGAGTAGATAAATAGGTACTACTTCAATGGGAAGGAAACAGCATTCCGTACACCTTAATGTATAGTCATGCTGGCCACATGACCACGGAAGCATTTTTGGACAATGCTAACTCTCTCAGCTAAGAAACAGAGACAAAGCACCATCTCCTAGGGTCAGACATGACAGGGGAAACCTTTACCTTTTTAAATAGACTAATACACAAGATGTTACCTTGTCTTTGAAAGCTCAGCTGCCACCCCATCACTCCATCATGTGTCTTGGGGCCACCAGCTCTCTTTATGCTTTATGCTGCTGGTAGCTCCTGGTCTCAAACTTTCAGCTCTGGCTCCATTATCTGTAAGTGAAAGAGAGCGTTCTCAGTGAAGGAATATTGGAAAAAAGAACTCTGGACCCTTCCTTCTCTTATTTCTATCCCCTTTTATATATTAATATTACTGCTACTACTAGCCAGATAACTGGAGTCAAATATTTATGGAAGGATAGAACCCCAGATGTCTTTAGATAGCAATATCACTTATATACAGCCCCATAGTACTTTACAGCATCTCTGGGCATTTACAGTGTCAGCATGTTGCCCCTAACAGTCTGGGTCCTCATTTTACCAACGTCAGAAGAATGGAAGGCTGAGCCATCCTTGAGCTGGTCAAGATCGAACTCCAGGGTGTGGGCAAAGTTTGGCTGCAACACTTCATTCTAACCACTGTGCTACTACAGCTCACTTAGATGCTCAGCAACAGAGAAGCACAGAAGTTTAAGCACGGAAGTGAGGCCATACTGGGAAACTGAGAGCCAGTTTGGTGTAGTGGTTAAAGCGCTAGCTCCCAAACCAGGAGACTGTTACCATCTATGGTGGATGTTTGATAAAGCAAGAAAATATTGGAGTAGAATTCAAATGTTAATACAGAAAATTCTTAATACAGTGAATATAGAAAGAAAACCAGAGACTTTTCTCTTGGGGATAATGGACAAAGACCTGGAAAAAAAAATAGGGAACTTTGATGTTATGTATGTTGACAGCAGCAAGATTACTCTACGCTCAGAAATGGAAGACTGCATCGATTCCCACAACGGAGAAATGGTTACAGAAGCTGATAGAACTAGCAGAGATGGCCAAACTGACTACACTGTTTAAAGAAAAGAATACGAACACTTTTACTGCCACGTGGAAACCGCTTCTAGAATCTGTGCTTGAGGTGGAAAAAAAATGAAATTTTGATTGTGGGTTTTACCAGTTAGATATATTTGATGTTACCGAAATGACTAGTTTATATTATTTTGTAAAAAGTTGAGGTTTGAGGTTGATACTCTACTTTGCTGCACCCAAGGAAGTCGGAAGCCAATGCCTTTTTTTTCCTTCTTTTTTTTCTTTCCTACCTCGCTTCTCTATTCCCTTTTTCCCTTCCCCATCTTTCCCGCTATTTACTTTTGTATTTTCATTGTATCGTATACTGTAAACTAATAAAACTTTATATAAAAAGCAGGAGACTGTGAGTTCTTGTCTCCCCCCTTAGGGACAAAAGCCAGCTGGGTGATCTTCAGCCAGTCACTCTTTCTGATTTCTGATTTCTGATGGTTGCAGTGTCATGTGATCACCTTTGGTGACCTTCTGACAAGCAAGGTCAATGGGGAAGCCAGATTCACTTAACAACCAGATTACTAATTTATCAACTGCAGTGATTCACTTAACAACTGTGGTAAGAAAGAGGCAAATCTCACTTAACAACAGTCTTGATTAGCAACAGAAATTTTGGGCTCAGTTGTGGCCATAAGTCGAACACTACCTGGATCAATAGGTTTGCTGACCCTTTACTTTTGGATGAGTGTGGAAGCTCTTCCACCTTTTGTTCACCCAGTCTATAATCATCAGCTGCATATATTTTGGACCTGATGGTCCTTGATATATGATGTAGGGCATGTTCTGCAAAGCTAATCAATTGGGGATTAATTAACAAGCGATGGTTATTAAGATGTGGCTTAGCATGATCAATGAAACAGAGCTTTGTGAGGTTCCAAAAGGAACCTTTTGGACAATATGCACACTGCACTCCATTATTGCTAGAAATTCTGTTTATATATAGTACCAGACAGCAAACAAAGGGGATAGTCACCATGTACTTTACTGCTCAATTGTTTAACTGTAACAGGAAATAGGAAACTCTGTTTAGAACAAAAGAGCATAGAGTCTATACCATAGAGAGTATATTTTATAGATCCAAACTTGAAAACACTGCCATGTATTGGCTGAATATCACTGTAGTTGCTACATAGAAATACATTCCAACAATGAATTCCAACAATTATGGATAATTCCAGCTGTTGAGATCTGCAAACCCACAATATGAAAACTATGCATCATGTTTCAGAGGGGGGAAGTACAGTAGTCCTCAATTTACAATAATTCATTTAGCAATTGTTCGAAGTTTCAACAACACTGAAAAAAAGTGACTTTAAATCAGTATTCACACTTACAACCATCGCAGCATCCTCAAGGTCACATGATCAACATTCAGATGCTTGGCAGTGTCCTGGGGTCACATGATTAATATTTGTGACCTTCCCAGCAAGCTTCCAACAAGCAAAGTCAACTTGAGGGGGGGAAGCTGCATTTGCTTAACGCAGTGGTTCTCAACCTTTTTAATGCCACGACCCCCAACCGGTCGTAAGTCGAGGACTACTCAACCGGTCGTAAGTCGAGGACTACTCAACTGGTGCAGCACCGTTTGCAGAATGGAACTTTTGGCGGGCTCAGCAGGGCAGAGACAGCCTGGACAATTCCTATTGACTTTTGAAAGCCAATATTCAAGAGAGTCTATTCTATTGGCTTTCAAAAGCCAATAGAATAAAAGGGAGGAGCACAGCTAAGGAAAAGGGGGGAAAAAATGGCGGACTGCGTTGTTCGGCGACCCCCGTGAAATGGTCTTTTGACCCCAAATGGGGTCCCGACCCACAGGTTAAGAACCACTGGCTTAACGACTACATGATTCACTTAATTGCAGTGATTGCAGTGATTTGCTTAACAAAATTAGGCATGACTCACATAACAACTGTTTTGCTTAACAATGGAAATTCTGGTCCCAGTTGTGATCCTAAGTCAAGGACCGCCTATAGATGAAATTTTGTCTCCTCCTCTGGAACCCAGAGGCAAAGCCATTTTGTCCCATCTTCCTTGGGAAATCCAAAGTCTTGTAAGTCTGGAAATTATTGTAGGAAGAGAAAGAGCTCTTGTTTTGTTTCCCACGTCATGGCTAATTAAGCTGATAAGGTGCATTGGACAATTATTATCAGAGAATAATTGAGAGAGAGAGAATTTCCCAACAGGGATCTGTAGATTAATCTTCCACATCCTTCACCTACATTGTAGAAAGGACTGTTACAGAGAGGAATATCTACACTCCAGTCAGCAAATGCTGTTGTTCCTTTGGTATAGACCTCCTTCTTCCTGTTCTTCTCATAGGTGCCCAAGCCACAAAGTCAAAATGCCCCTGGTCTCTCATATTCAGAACCTAATTAAATCAACTTTAAATTCATACCACCTACAGCTTCTTTGTCAAGTCTCAACTTGCACAGAGCCTCTTCCTGAGAAATAAAATGGCTGACGGGACCTGCTTGGCTGGTTCAGATGTACTTTTGCAATTTAGGCATTTGGTGTTCCAACATGTTTTCTGTATGAATGTAAGAAACAGAATAGCTTTTCATGCTATATATTATTCTTCCAAGCATAGAATTCATTGGTACCAAACCTGAAGCTGGGAGGAGTAACTAGGAAGAAGGAAATGGAATGGCAGGTTCTCCTTCCGTATAATGCTGATCTCAGCCCATATAATGCTGAAAACATCTGTCATCATTGTGCAAGCTAGCCTTCATTTTCAAGTACTCAAAGATAAACTTGAAATATGAGCTCTGGCAGCAATATTACATGTTCATGACCTTAAACCCCTGATTGGAAAAAGTATCTGAGTGGCTTCTGCAGGAAGTCAACTTCATATATGAGAAGCCAAAATGAAACAGTGGTAACAGATTAATGCTTTGAGGAATAGCTTGCAAGGTTTTTCTTAGCTGAAGGTTGCATTTGACCTTTGAGAGAGATGTAGGGAAGCGGAATATAAAAGAGTGTAGGTGGAATCCAAACTAACAGCATGTTTTAATGCACACTGAAATACTTACAGTAAGCTCATATTTATTGCCTATAATTCTGATGGGAAGGAGAAGAGGGATTGTTTCCAACAAGTTATTTGAAGAAATCTCAATGAAGTTTCCCATGATATACAGAGGAATTCATGATGCCATCACATGCTCTCACCAGCAATGGAGTCCTCAGCTAGAAGGGACCCATGGCCACTAATTGGACTGGTTCTTTCTCTCACTGCTTTGTCACAAGGGAAGAAACAGGAGATGCAGCAACCACAACATCTTCCCATTCCTTTCCCAATTGACCATTTCTTCAAGAGTTGTGATGAACTCCTGGGGCTATATTACAACAGGCTGAGAAGAGAATCCATATGGAAAGAGTAGGAAGGCTGGATCTCAGCCTGAATAAGGCTGAAAATAATTATCTAGTGATCATCCT